ATAGACCGCAAAGCGGTGAGGGCGAAGCCCGTGAGAACGCTTATGTTTCATTGACTTTCTCCAGTAACGAGAACTTTTATGAGATAAGATTGAAGAGAGATGATTTTAATATGGTGTAAATGGTAGCTTGGGCAGCTTTAGGCGCAATGGGAACAAAAGCATTAGCATTTGGAGCAAAAGCACTTGGAGCTTATGACGCAGTAAATAAAATGAGTGGAGGAAGGGTTTCGAAGACATTAGATGCAAATAAAGGGAAGATTGGAGGCTGGGTTGCAAAGAAGTTAAGATTAAATAAAATAGGGCTCATAAATAAAGCATCCAATTTGGTTGCGACTGAGTCAGAAAATGCTTTAGGAAAGGACGATGAGTTTGCAAAACACGCAAAAGACTTTAATGACCAGATGAAAGGTGAAACAATGCATTTAAATAGAGTCGATGGAACTAAAGAAAATGTTTCTTCTCCACCAGTAGTTCTTCCGTATGGTCCCTATGGAATGTATGGAAACCCTTACGAAAGACCATTTGACCCATTGACTGGTGGAAGTAACTGGTATCATTACGGCCGAAGAAGAAAGACAGTCAAGTTGGAGACAGACGTGAAGAAAGCAACTAAAAAGAAACCAAGGAAGAGAGTTATAAAGCAATGAATTCAACAGGGTGAAAAAAGAGGTGAGATCTCACCACTTCACCTAAATTTATTTTTGTGCTATGTTTTCATACGTGTGAGGGTGGTGATATCATTAATTTTTAAGTTTATTTTTTATTTTACTGAAAATTTTTATTTGGATGTAAATGACAGAACAAAAGCAACTCATACAAATCGAAAAATATAACAAACATACATTTAAACATTTATTCTTCCTTTCTGAGCATAACATGTTCTTTCAAATACATCCGAGACCAGTTGACTTTTCATTGACTGTGTATAAAGATAGAAATAGTTATATCATTAAACCATATGATGACGAAGGTAAGTTATGTAAATTGTATGTTAAGAAGTTAGAGAAAGCTTATGGCTTCAAGTATGACTACAATAGGGTTAACACTGATGATGAAGATATTGAGGAAAATTTATGAGAACATTAGTGAAGTCGTTAGTGAGAACGATAGTGAGAACGTTTATTTTTTTACATTAGTGAGTTTGTTAGTGAAGTGGGTGGCGGTTTTGTAAATATTTAAGGTTAAGTTAGTGTTGTCGTTTGTGTTGTAAAATATACGTTACCGGTTTCGTAAAGTGTCAAAACCGTTAAGTGGTGTACGGAGGCGCGCAGTGCCACAGTACCCAACTTAACCATACTAACTTGTGAACTCTTGAATTATCAAAATGAATTGCAAACTTTTGCTTTTGTTGTTTGGATTTCTCAAACTCATCAGAATTGATAATTTGAGTAAGAACATTGTCAATTAGATACTGAGCATTCATCGTATTAGGTTTTTGAAGAATATCAATTGCGATGATGCCATTCACGCCCCAAAAAACCGACAACATCATCATTGATGTGTCAATTTTTTTCTTCGGGAATGTTTGCGGATTTTCATCCTTCGGGATCCACATGATTTTGGCTTCTGTTGCATATTGAAACCAAGACTCGTCCCCTGTTACTAAAAAGCGAAACTTCTTGGATTGATACGCACCCAATATAGAGAGGAGCTCTTTCGAAGATTGGACTCTAGATTTTTTTTGAACTGAATTAAGGTTGTGCGGAACCCAACGTGTATACGCTAGTTTGTAGTTCAAATAATTGTGCAGATAATAACTGACTGTTGTACGTGGTATCTTTGTCATCTCCTCTATCCTTCTGAGTGATGCTCTTGGGTCTTCATCTAGCGCTTGAAGAATTGCTTTGATTTTTCTTTGATCCGGCGATTTTTTGTCAATTTTTATGATGGGCGCCTTTTTGTTCATGAAGTGATACATCCTAACATGATACGTTACAGTGGAATAGCTAGGAGCATCCATACCGAAGCATTTTACCAATGTCTCGTAGATTTTTTTACAGTCTTTGCATTTTTTTGCAAGAGCGAGGATGTTTTCTTTATGATTCATTAAAAAAATGAAAAAAATCCCGCCAAAATTTCCCGCGAAACCGCCTCTTGTCTCAAAATTCATTTTATATCCCGGCATGGCGCCAAAATACAACATACTCATCATATACATATATTCATATTTTTTATTATATATTTATAATCAGCATATATCTCCTTTAATAGTCTCATATAGAGCGCTGTGCTAAACGCACCTTTGGACACCCTATATTTAACATTTTCAAATTGATCATTATATGATGCACGAATGAGTGGAGTCCATCCAAAATTATCCTTTGCTTCTTTATCAGCTCCAACTGAGATAAGATATTTAACAATTTCAAATTGATCATTATATGATGCACGAATGAGTGGAGTCCATCCATCATTATCCTTTGCTTCTTTATCAGCTCCAACTGAGATAAGATATTTAACAATTTCAAGATGATCATTATATGATGCACGAATGAGTGGAGTATATCCATTATTATCCTTTGCTTCTTTATCAGCTCCAACTGAGATAAGATATTTAACAATTTCAAATTGATCATTATATGATGCACGAATGAGTGGAGTCCATCCATCATTATCCTTTGCTTCTTTATCAGCTTCAACTGAGATAAGATATTTAACAATTTCAAGATGATCATTATATGATGCACGAATGAGTGGAGTCCATCCATCATTATCCTTTGCTTCTTTATCAGCTCCAACTGAGATAAGATATTTAACAATTTCAAGATGATCATTATATGATGCACGAATGAGTGGAGTCCATCCATCAGAACTCTTTAAATCTTTATCGCAGCCATATTCAATCAGAGATTTTACAAGTGCAAGGTTTCCCTTTTCACTTGCTACATGAAGTACATGTGCTATATCATGATATATCATGAAATTTCTTTTCTAAAAGTAATTCGTCACATGATTTTGAAATCATTTTTCGATTGCCTTGTGATGAAAGCTTATCAAGTAAGTTGTAAACTCGTTCAAAATCATATGATTTCTTAAGTTCTGAAATTTCTGCTAGAATTTCTCTCTCATTACTGTTTTCTTCATTAATTTGATTGAGTTGGGAATTAAGTAATTCTATTTCTTTGTCACTTTTTGGAGGTTGATTTTGAAATGTTTCTTCTGATTGAGGCTTTTGTATTTTCTCTGATGAATCAGATATTTCTTTATGGGTTTGTATTAAAAAATTAATAACTCCATCAAGTATTCTAAGTTTCATGTATTTCTTGAGTAATTTCAAAATTGAAACGATATCTTCAAAATTTTGGACAGAAATATTTGCATTTTGAGTACAGATATATAATTCGTTTGCTTTGATAGAAGAATGAGATTGCTTTATAACAGTAATGAAGTCATTTGTTGTCAGAGTTGTAAATTTCATGATTTTTTTGATGTCGTTTGTTTCGAAAGTAGAAAACAACTTGTCCTCATCGATGTAATCTTTAATGTGTGCCGCGATGTATTCGAAATTATGAATAAGACCTTGGCTCATTAAATTTGTCATAGGTATAAAAATGTTGGCAAAAAAAATATTTCACTTATTTATAGCTCTACATATAGCATAAATATGATGATTCACATAAGGAATCTAAATATAGTATTTATTTGGTTACATCCTAAAATACTCAAATTTTCCTTGAATTTCATTATTTTCCTCGTTTGTAAACAACAATATATATATATAGAACTTTCTAACGATGTTACAATATAAGATGAAAACTGTGTGTGAACCTTTTTGGAAGGGTATTTTTTCTTCTTTGCTTCTTTTTGGATTATAGAATTGATATCTAGCTTAATGGTTGAAATTTGTTAGGTAGTTCTTGTAATAGTATATATATGTATGCATGCAATTGCTGAAATTTATATATATGAAATTATATATCAGATTTAATTCTTAAATCAAAAATATAACTATATAAGTATGAGAATTGATATATACAAATGTGTGAGATGTATGTATAATGAAATAGGTTTGTAAATGAATAGTAAAAAATGTATAATTTGATTAATTTGAAATTTTCATTATACTTGCTTAAAAATATATAAGTAATAGGAGATAGTTGTAATTGTAATAAAATCCAGATAACTTCAGCATAAACGAATAATAGACATGTTCTCTCGCCCTTTGTGGGCCAGAGAAGGAATAAAAAAATTATTTGGTGAATAGGTTTGATGCATACCTACTCACTGCAAGGAAATCCTAAAAGTAACTTTTTGAAAAAAAGTGACAAAATGTCGCAAGTTTCCAATGAAAAAATATACAGAGCAACTAAAATAGCAAGTGTCACTAATACCCCTGATGGAGAAATTGCTGTTGTTCGCTTAAATGGCGAATGGAGGCGAATTAGAACAGAGCAAATCGAAAATTTTGCTGAATTCAAAAACAAAGAGCTCAATCCTTTACTTAAAATATCCTCATATATTCCTAGCAAAATTGGCGAAACTCCTACGGAAAATGACAAAAATAAAACAATACTCAAGTTAACACCTTATCAAAAACCAATTTTTCCGACCATAAAATTGTAATAAATTAACTACAAAGCAAATAGCTCAATATAATCCTGTAATTTATATTATAATTTAATAAAATTTTAGTACAAGTGTTTAGAAGCAGAATTTGTTACAGTGAATCCTCTCATGTTCTGAAAGATATTAGGTTTAACTTACGTCTATTCCAAAATTATTTTTCCACAAAATTTTCTTTAAGAATAGAAACGTTTTAAGTATAGAACGCCATCATTACTATAAATTGTTATGTAAATATATATTATATACTATATCTAGTTTTATTTTATTTCGAATCTATAGAATTTTTCAAATCAAGTTTTAATTAAAACAAAATAGAGTATGTTTTTGATGATTTACAATCTGGAATAGCAATATATGCATATATTATTAAATCTTGAGTTTGATCGAAATTTGTAATCTTCTCAATTTTGATGCATTTTTCGTTATTTTTATTGATGGATAAATACCGAGTTGACAAGGTTTTGGGAAAAGGTGGCTTCGGAAAAGCGCTTCTTGTTACATCCCTCGAGAATGAGTCAAAGAAAAGGGTCGTCAAACAGATAATTCTTAGCAAATTAAGTGAGAAACAACAACTAAAAGCAGAGTCTGAGATTACGATCCTAAGTACCCTCAAGCATACGAACATTGTTAGGTACAGAGGCTGCAAGAAGACTAAATCTTCTCTATTTATTCTCATGGATTATGCTGATGGGGGAGATCTTCAGCAATTACTAAAAAGACGGAACTTGTCTTCAATACCTGAAGATAAGATCATTGATTGGTTTACTCAGATATGTCTTGCTGTCAAGTATATTCACGATCGAAAAATTATTCATCGCGATATCAAACCAAGCAACATCTTTCTTGATAGTAATGGTGTCCTTAAGCTAGGTGATTTCGGTCTTGCTCGTTTTCTTGATAGCACTGAAGCATTTGCTGCAACATTTGCAGGTTCACCTTATTACATGCCCCCAGAGATCTGCAATGTCCAAAAGTACAACGCATCTGCGGATATTTGGTCCCTTGGATGTGTGCTTTATGAAATGTGCAATTTAAGAAAAGCATTCTATGGAATCAATGTTCACAACATTATGCTTGATATCACAAGAAATACACCTTCAAAGATAAGAAGCTTTTACTCGAAGGAATTGAGTGATTTAGTTTCATCAATGCTCAACAAGGATCCTCAACTTCGCCCAACAATTAACGAAATTTTGCAAATTCCAATTATTAAGTTCAAAGCAATTGCATTGATGGGGTCAGAAGTAGCATCAAAAGAGCTTAATCATACAGTTTTTCATGGAATTGGTCCAGGATTAACACCTTCTAACGCTCCAAAAGAAATCAAGATTGATTACATTCCTGAAGCTGAAGAAGATGATGAAGGAGTTAAGTTCATGGGAAGGAAGTTTAAATTTGATAAAGAATGCAATGATACATCAATGAAATCAATGGCAATCCGAAAATTTTTATCAGATATGCTCGGTGAGGAGAAATTCAGTCAAATGTATCAAATGATCAGCACATCTTCACTAAAAATTGAGTGGAAATGGGCAACAAAAATGGAAGAATATGCATCTCAATTGATCATACAATTGATTGCATTGGAATCAATCTTATAGTATACATTTGTATACCAAGGGCAAATTATAGCTATTTCTATGATTTTTACATAATTCTTCAACCATGAATAAAATTTCATTAATTATTACCGAATCCTAATGAAGAATATAAGCATTAATTCAAGAGTTATATGTATTTAACTCATGCTGTAAGATAAAATCGCAATATTAACAAATCAAAAAAATCTTTTCCATTAGGAAGAAAAACTTATATAATTATGTAAGTTATATACGCAGCACATTTTAAACAAATTCAATTTCTCTATAAGTTAAAAAATCTATAAATAATTACAAAGTATATGGTAGTTTTTGAGTTTCTCGTGTATTACTTTCTTGAGATAATCTAAATCCAAATACTCTAGGAACATATTGTCTAGGAGGAGCTTCTGGCACCATATCTTCATATTGCTGAGTAATAATATGAACATATGATGGACCCCAGTATGCCCCATCTAAATTATTCCATTCAGGGTATTCTGGGTCGTATACATCTCCGCAATTCGGGCAATACATTTTAAGAGTTCCTTCGCCTTCAACTTCAGAGCATCCATAAGGTAAGCAATAGCATCCATTGCATAAAACTCGTGGACATCGCTGAAAGTGGCCTGCTAAATACTTTCCGTGCATATTATGCATTCCATCACATGAGCCAATGTATCTGGCATGCACTAATCCATATAATCGTATTGTCTGATGCATTAAGTCTTGATCTTCATAATTAAAATCGGCTCCGCGCAAAATTGCAACACATTCTTTAAATCGAGGTATTTTTTGACGTAATCCATAAAAATTAAAGGAGTCTTCAAGATACTGACGTTCAATAGCAGCAAAACATCGATATTGTTTTGTGTTAACTAGCCAGCCAATGAAATTTTTTTCTCCCATATTCATCCTCTAAAAAGTGACAAACTAAAAACTTTTAGTGGATTTTTTTAAAAATTTCCTGTAAATCATATGTTTTTTCCTTTTCTCTTTGAATCATTCATTACTTTCGAGAATTTTACAATTCTAGCTAACCAAAACTATACACTCGAGAATATTCCAAACATAACTTCATATATATTTGCCGAAAATTCAAATAATCTTACGATTACAACAAATGGAACAGAAGTTTTGGTTCCTGGAAAGTCATTTTCCTCTAAAAATGTTAATTCAATCCTATCAGACGTAAATACAACGATTTATAAATGGAATATTAATTCTTCGTATTGTACTGGGCCAATTTACGAGTTTTCAACGCCACAACTCTTTTATTTAGAAACAGAATTCATCAAACCTACAAAAGAAAACCACGGTTCTTGTTTATTTTTAAGTAATTTTAATCCTCAAGGTTCAGTTTCAATCTCATTGTTTAAGATGTCGTCGTCAATTTCAATATACCAGGTCGATGAACATAATAACGTTACTTTATTTGGCGAATGCGGTGACCAAAATTGTGATAAAGTCAAATTAAAAGGAAAACCGTTTATGATTCGCTTTAACAATCTTCCAGAGTTTACTTATCTCGACATGTATGCTAAATTGGACGTTTTGGATCCAAATGTGAAATGTCAAAATAATCCAATTGTTCAATATTCTGGAGATCAATGCTTTAAGACAGAATTCCAATATTTGGACAGTGCATTTATGTGCACAGATTCAAAAGATCACAAAATTGGAGTTATTGTAGTTTTATCTGTCTTAGCTGCTGTTGTATTAATGATTGTTGCAATTGTCTTGGTTATATGCTTCGTTGAGAAGTCATCAGATTCCAAGAAAGACTCATTACATTTGGATATCATTCCATAATTATTTATATATCCCAATTTGTATATTATTAGGAATTTCAATTTGTTCTGTATAATTAAATAAACTTATTTCACCTCGGAATTTAAATCTTAAAATAATATTTCTCATTCACTTTATTTAAGATTGAATTTTGTAGGTATTCATTCAATAATGTCCATGAAATAGTTGAGGTTGTGTCTAATTGGTCAATTTCCTAAAAAAATTCACAAGATTCATATGCAACAGGTATCATATGATGAACGTGATTAACTCTTCTTTAATGAAGCGGCTGATAAATTAGGAAAGACATTATTACCTGTATATATGAGAATACTGTTGTTGAGTTAAAAAAAAGTCTATATGATTCAAAAGCATTTTTCTTCAAATGATAGAGATAATGTTATCAAACAATGTTGCAGAAATGATGTTATCGATGGATTAGGTCTGTGCCTTTATTTGACTGGTTCAATGCATTTATTTTTTGTGAAGAGCCTAATCTAGCTCTACTGAGACAAAGCTTTAAAAATCAATATATCTTTATTCTAACAGCAGAAATGTATAACAGTCTTATTAGGATCTATACAATGTTTTACAGTTACTTCTTCCCGACCGACAATATTAACTTTTGACCATCGAAAATTGGGTAATAAAGCTTGGATGTCAAAAAAAAATGAGAGAATGTCAGAAAGTGCCCTTAAGGGTGTACTTCCCATTTTCTGACATGCTATGAAAAAATCAACATATCTGTATTATAATAGCAGAAAAGTATAGAGGCCAAATTAGGTACTATTTATTTTTACTTTCTCCTGACCAAAAATATTAACTTTTGACATGAGAATATTGTGATAGAATTCTTGTGTCAAAAAAAATTGAGAGAATGTCAAAAAGTGGTAAGTGCCCTTAATAAAAAAAATTTCTTATTTATACAACATAAATTAATAAAATAATATAAATCATTTCAATACGAATGGACAAGATGTCAAGATCTCGCCTTCTGTTACAGTTATTGCAGATGGAAGCATTGTTGTTTCCACTCCATCAATCAGTAGAATAGGAAGTTTCAAAACTCCAGGAGTCTGAGGAATCAGATTCAGTGAAACTTCTCCTCCTTCGAAGTTGTTTCTCTTCGTAATTCCAGAAACAACAAAATGAGGACATGTCAGCACTTGGAATGAACATTTTGGCAAAGCAAAGTTCACTTTGATGGAAGCACCGGCGTGAGGATGAGAAGGAGAGTAAGAAACATTCACATTAGGAGTCATTGTCGAAAGAATGCTCCAACTCTTTTCAACGGTCGGAAAATCAGTTCCAGCCTCGTAGAAACAGGCTTTGAACTCTATGTCTTTCTCGCTACTGCAGTGGGACATCACGTATGTCGATTTTCCTGGTTTTATGACCAAGTTTTTGTAAATCGAGTGATTTAACTTGCCTTCGACAAGAGTAACATCGTTTGGACCTGTATTAGTGAGACAGGTGTGAACAATGCTCTTTGTGAAGATTCGTGTTGAAACTTGGATCGGAAATTCGACGGCTTTTGAAAATTTCGTTTCAAAAACGTTGTTTTCGATGGAAGAAACAAGACTGAACTGGCAGATGTTAGATCCTGGCTTCGGCTTGATCGGGAGAGTGAATCTGACGTCACTTAAAGATAATGGAATTGAACTCTTTGTTTCTGGATCAATAAAGTTGACGATACCGTCACTACTGATATCGTATTCGTATTTTATGGAGTTTATCTCGACAACTCCCTTTAATGCGTCAATTATTGATTCTGTTGACCGGATATTCAAGTAAATGCTCTGGGAAGCACAGTTCTTGAAGTTAATGTAGAATTCTACGAAGTATTCCGGTAAAACGCTCGATATTGTGCACAATTTAATTTTAATCGGCGGTTCTGACCTCGCGTTTACATCTACAGCGTTATCTGTGTGCGACATCTGCAGATTATGGATAAAGCAGATGTTTCCGACGTAGAACTTCAAAGCAAGAGGAATCCATTTTCCCGGTAAGTTGAAATGCACCAAAATATCAATTGCTTTGCCGATAGAAACGTACTGGGTGGGAAATGTGATCGTTTTCTCTGTCCTCATGTGCTGGAAAATCAAATCTATGTGAGAATAAATTTTTGGAAGCCAATCAACTTGTTCAACGAACAATTGGAGGTTGAATGGCCTGTCACAGTCTGATTTGCCTCTGAAAATGTCAGATTCGAGCTTAATCTTGTAGAAATCTTGGTGATCAAATTGAAATTCTTCTCCTGTCTTCATTAGCTCTTGAAGGAGCTGCTCTTTCATCGGGAAAACTGATCTGTTAGAGAATAACTGTGCTAAATACTTCTTAGCGTTAGGATCTTTCTCAGATAATAATTTTCTCGAATACAAATCAAGGAATTTTGTATCAGCATTCCATCCAACGTATACGTTCTTTGGTGGAGTGAACGTATTTGACGTTACTAAGGCTGCAGTTGCGATTCTTGTGGCAAATCCATTTCTTGAATTCACTTTTCGACTTTCTATCTCTCCGAGAACGAAATCTTTGATGGAGAATAATTTTTCAAGGTCACTGGCATCGTAGATAACAAACAAAGATTGATATAATCTGAATTTGAAGTCAAAGTCATCACTGAACAATCCGCTGATCGCGACAATGGAAGTTTCGGCCCAGTTATTAAGTTGTGCTTCATCTTCATCTGTTTTGCAAAGCGATCGTAAGAAAGAATAATGTTTATAGAAAATAACTTTGGCGGCAGAGTTGTTGCTGATGTGTGTAGATGATATATTCAATATACAATGTAAACAGACCATTACGAGCTCGGCATTCGTCTTTGCATTTTCAATATTTGGATAATGCGGTAAAACTTTTTGATCGATTGGTTTTGATACTAATTCCTCGAAGTTGAATGTTTCGTTTTGTAATAATTTGTTGTAAATATCAATTATCGAGTTGAGAGGAGATAGAAGAAAACCAATAGCAGCAAGAGATAAGCTTTTAACCAATCTCCATCTTTCACTTGGTAGGAATTTGTCTTTGACGTAGTTTTGTTCTGCATCTAAGCGTTTAAAGTATGATTTTGAGTCTTCAAAAATTAATTTAACCAAAAACTGTCTGATTTTTTCACAATATTGCTCTGTATGCTTTTCATTTGCTTGCAGAATCAATACATTCTCTTCGAATGATGGATCTGGCACTAAGATTGTCTTATTTATTTGTGCATAAGTTGTAAAGATTGATGTTTGCTCTTGAATGATAATAACACCGAAATTGTTTTGTGCAAATTGGCATTTTGATGTCCAGTGAAGTATGTTTTCTTGATTAACCGCGTCAATATCTTTATTTCCTGGAGTATCGATGATATACAAACGGAGATGAGGTCGTTTAAACGGATCACTACCGGGAACGTTTGCAACTGCTGTTTCTTCGCAGTCAACGATAAATTTAATTTCGCATTTATCTCTTTGTTCTGTGTCTTTTACATTGTAGCTCTCGCGAGGAAATTCAAATGTAAAGTTCTTCAAAGCATCTGCGGCTATTTGCTTCCACTGAACACTTTTAAGAACATGCGTAACGTGAATTTTCCTTATCGAGCGCATTTTTATCTAGTTTTCTGTCACTTTTGAGAGAGGAGTTCTTCCCATAATCAAACTCATCAAAAGGTTTAAAACTAGTACTTTGAGGAGTATAAAAAGCTAATTATGAAGTTTAAATATCTTGGAAAATGGAATATTGATATTTTCCATATAATTAAATTCAGTTTTGATGTATATTTTGCTAATTATCTCCATACTGTAGACAGTCGAAACTAAATTCAAGATGTCTAGTCTTATATTAAGATATTCAGAAACAAATACATCTCTTGTTCTTAAATTGCGTATTGATGATATAAAATCAATTTAGATAACTCACATATAAGATGATTTACTGTATATTTAATGATTTTTGATAGAATACTAAATATCAAAAAATATGTATGTCAATATCTATTGATATCCTAGTATACATTATACTGATGCATCACACACAATAGTTTATGATCATTGTTGAATAACAAAGAAAAATATTTAATAAATCAGAATATCAGCATCGAAAGCATCCAAAAGCAAGTAAAATATAAATACCATTGTCATTTGTAATCATTCGATATGGTCTGCTTGCTGAATAATTATGAATTTCTTATTGTCTAAATTATCGAACGTACAAAGTTAACGATTTGTTAATTACGCAATAGTATTGTATCCTAAACCAGAATCTAAAATAAAAAAGATAATTAGATTGGGCGTTCAATATCACAAATTTGGCGCCATAAAATGTGAGTTTTAATTGAATCGGAAATTCACTTTACAAAAGTTCACACCAAGAAATTGAGAGAAAAAACCGCAAATACAAGACGTTAGAACTCTAATGAAGACGTCCTCATCCCATGCTCAGCCACTTGCGCCGACGCGTGTTCGTAATAAAATTAACAACTGCGTTAAGAATGTCAAATGGCAAAAGGAAGAGGATGAATTGCTGATGAAATTAATGCTGGGAAATATGCATCCTAACTATTCTAGGATGGCTGAACATTTTCCTGGTAAGACAGGCCAGCAGATTGCAGAGCGCTGGGATAAAGTTCTTAATCCGGAACTTGTAAAAGGTTCTTGGACAAGACAAGAAGATGAAATTATCATTAAATTTGTACAAGAAAACGGTACTAAAAACTGGAAAAAGCTCTGCGAGCTATTGCCAGGTCGTATCGGTAAACAGTGTCGTGAAAGATGGCGAAACCACCTTGATCCAAACATCAACCATCAGCCGTGGACTCCTGAAGAAGATAACCTCTTGATAAAGTACCATGAGATGTATGGAAATAAGTGGGTTCAAATTTCGCAATTAATTCCGAATCGTTCTGATAACGCGATTAAAAATCGATGGAATGCTACGATTAAAAAGCTTGTGAATTCGACTCCTAAGCCTGAAATTGAGACTAAGGATACAGTTCCGTCAACAAGTCCTGCTTCAACTCCTGTTGTTCAGACATTGATATCATCTCCATTCTTAACAACAGTTACGCCTCTCGGATATCTTTCGCCAGGACTGTCATTGTTAGAGAAAAAGAGTCCTAAAGGGAAGGAAGCTAGTTCATCTTTGACCGACAACTTTGCTAAGCTCCTTGAGATGATTCCCAAAAATTAATGTTGAAAAATCCTAAACTTATATGTGTTTTCAATACAATTTCCGCCAATAGTCCACTTTAGATGTACATGTGAAATAGTGCATGATGGACTTATTTTTTTCATTTATCCGAAAATGATAATGAAATTTGAAAAACATTCAAGCAATTTTCAATGCTTAATTGGAGCAACAAAGTTCTCTTAACACGCTTATTTACGAGACATATTTTTTACATGGTCATTCATGAGAAGTTTTCTTAATAATGAAAATTTTATAAATCAGCTACAACAAATTCGGAACCATTCCAATCAATTCTTCCACCAGTATTGATAACTAATGATTTGCCAGCCTCAGCTTTCTCCATAAATATGTCAAGGTCAGACTTAGTTGTTTTTCTTCCAAGAGGAAATGTTCCATAATGAATTGGAGTAAGTTTGGCAGCGCCAATAGCTTTAGCCATATCCCAAGCATCCTTTCCATCCATATGGACAACTCTCATTGTCTCTCTCGGAACAGTCGGGCCGATTCCTGCAATCATCAAATCTGGGCCTCTTCCGATTGTTTCCTTGATTTCTGCAAAATGTGGTCCAACAGCTGTATCTCCTGTAAAGTAGATCTTTACATTCTCATGTTCTATCAGCCATGAACACCATAGTGCTTTATTTATATTGCACAAAGAGCGGGCTGATTCATGTCTTGCTGGGAAGCATGTGAAATTGATGCCTTCAATATTCAAGTGTGTTCTCCAATCAAACTCTGTATAATGAATGATTCCCCATTTTGATAAAAGACTGCCATTACCAAGAGGAACTAAAAAGTGACAATCAGGGAAAAAAGATTTGATTTTCTTGACGGATCCTTTGTTCAAATGATCATAATGGTTATGGGAGATCAGCACATATGAAATTCTAGGTAATTCCTCTATTTTGCACGCTGCTGGAGTCTTCCTTGACAATCCCATTTTCAATGGAGAGCAAGAACTCTCAAACATTGGATCTGTTATGATAAATTTATCCTTGATTTGGATTAAGTTTGTTGCATGGCCAATCCACCAATCTCTTATTCCGTCACCAAGATTAAAGTCATATTTTGGATTTCGATGTGGCATTTCTCGTGTTACATCTTTTTCTGCAAATAGAGCTTTGAAGACTAATGGTACTATTTTCAGTCCGAGATGTCCTAATGGAACAATTGGATCACCATCATTGTTAATAAATTTCCCACTTGCGTGGTGTGCATCGTTATAAGTAGGTAAGTTTTCTGGTATAAAGAAGCCAGCTTGTTGGTTGAGCAACATCATTATCTGCAATAAAACCTGATCGGTACTTTTGTGAAAAAAATGATCGCAATAATTATCCGACTATAATATTATCCTAATGAATTATTGTATAATTTAAGAATAAAAAAAATTTGAATGCTTTGAATTTTCAATCCATTGCTTTAGACTCATTATAACTTTGAGTTTATACTTTGAAAATATCATCATTGATGTGTATATGCTTTAGTATGTAAGAACAGAACTGAAATTCATAAAGCAATGGTTAAAGTAAACAATTTTTCCTGAAATAATTTGATTTTTCTTATTTAAACATGGTGATTCGTCATTATTTAATGTAGATATATTTCATCATTAAAAATTAATTGTAGATACTTAAATTTTTTTGATAACGAATAAAAAAATCAAATTAAATTGACTCTAATACAAACATAAATTAAGACAGTAATATTTACAAACAACATTATCCAAATTCAAGCCTTCTTTTTCATAGGCGTAATTTGGAATTTTTGATGGTGACGAACTGAAACACGAGGAGTCTTTCCTTTGAGTTTAGGTAGCTGCTCCTTAGGCTTTGGATCGAAATTACGAGCTGAAGCCGGTTCATGGCTGATATAATTCTTTTCTTTTACGAACATAGTATAATTTCGAAGTAAATAATCTAATGCAGGGAATCTCCTTGGCTCGTAAACTCCGTCTGATTTAAAATTGAGTATAGCTGAGTAGTTATTAACCATTCCGCAATAATTTGAAGCTCCAAATACCGTAATTACTGATCCGAAGTGGACTAGATAGCCATCAGGAACGCACTCATGGCCACGTACGAGATATTTCAATTTATTGCTTTTCATAAAATCATCTGTTGCGTTTGGTCCAAAAAGGAACCCGGTGCCTCTCGGAGAATCGCTAAATTCCCTCAAGTCATTGCTCGGATCTGACCATAGAATTCCGTCTATAACATCATCGTCGCCAAAATCGTCAAAAGGCTTCTGTATATTTTTGAGTTGGGCTAGCGAGTATAGCGATGGACTAAGTCCACCATGAATACATAGAGTTGTTTGACCTATTAAAGCCGCAATTGGTATATACGAGAAAGATTTCAAAAAACCTCGAAAAATATTAATATCGCCGTAAACTTCTGTTATTTGGCTGAAGAAGCCACATTGTCCGCATAAATACGCAAACTCGTGATTTCCTCGAATAATCCATACATTTTTTGGCCAAACTGTCTTCATAATATATATTAGAATAATGCATTCGACTGAAAATTCACCTCTATCTACTATATCACCAAGAAACAAGTATTGTCTTGCTTCTGGCGAGCCGTATGTTTTTAGGATTCGAAGTAGATCTAAAAGGTGACCATGTAAATCCCCGCAAACTATTACTGGTGGTGAAAGTTCGAGTAAACTTGGCTCTGATTTGAATATTTCTGTTGTATTTTGTATTAATTGATTTACAAATGAAACAGAAAATGTTGGGAGAAGGAGTTGTTTCTTTCTTGACGCATAGGCTTCAATATCGCCCGGTACGGCAGAAAGAAACTCCCTAAAATAAGAAAGACAGCTATCTTGAAAAGTCACGAGAAAAAAAATTGAAATAAATTTCTCTTTTTTCCGGGCAAACCCAAATTTTAGCTAAAAGTGACAGGGAAAAAAAACGTTTAGTATTAAAAAAAAGACCGATGAGAGCTTCGTTCGAAATATAGAGGGAACTGAGAATGCGCAACCATTCTCAGGGAATATTGGATGCTATTCCCGTTCCCTCTGGATGGAAAATTGAGGTTTTCAAAGGGAGTTAAAATAATATCAAATTTATACTAATTTACTTCAAAATACAAAAGTATTTGACAGCTAAAATTAGTTACTTTAGCAAGCCTATCAATACCCTTTTACGATTATTGTTACTTTTTCGAAATAAAAGTAAAAACAAATTTATACTAATTTACTTCAAAATACAAAAGTATTTGACAGCTAAAATTAGTTACTTTAGCAAGCCTATCAATACCCTTTTACGATTATTGCTACTTTTTCGAAATAAAATAAATTTATTATCAAAAACCTTTTTTTTTCTTAGTAAAAATAAACGAAATTTTTTACCTTATGAACTTTTGATGGAAATATGCAAATTTAAAATAATAAAGAAAGCCGCGAGCGAAGCGATCGGCTTAGTTCGAAGATTTTGATTCAAATCTTTGCTGATCTGTAATTCGCGGAAGCCGCGAGCGAATCGAGCGGCTTAGGTCTAAGATTTTGATTCAAATCTTTGCTTATATTCCTTAAATTCTTTATGAAACTCGCAACAGTTCCATAAAAAATTTTAAATTCTAAACTGTCGAAATTACCGATCGGTAATCACCCCTACTCACTCAAAAATCTTATCAACGGGTTCGTAATATTTATTTATTAACCCGCAGTGCTCTCAATTTTTGAGAAAATTTTACATAAATAAAAAATAAGTCATTTCTTAATTTAGCATGTTACCAATATATTTGGTTTTTTGATCGGAGATTGAAATTTCACTTGTTATCTCAAAAATTGCAAAGCCTTTTGAAAATCTTTGTCCATTTCTTATCGAAGCTTATAATCGGTTCATTACAACGAATCACTTAGATTTCATATTTTAATTCAGATAAGTTTATCGTTGATCAAACAGATTTCCTAAAGTCAAAGCAACCAAAATAATTGACGCGTTATATAATCCAAGACTTTATTAAGAAAATTTGCATTTGATGTATCATTTTCAGTATTTTTAAGAAAATAAAATGTTAAAATAGAATAAAATTTTATTTATAAAACAAAACAATTACAATATAAAATATTACTGACTAATAATAGCTGCATAGTTGCGTCTAACTCTTCCGAGCTCTTCGACGAGTTCAGATTCTCTTTGAATTTGTTGTGAAAGTTGCTGATTCAAGCCATCTACTCTTTGTCTGAGCATTGCTATGAGTGAGTCCTTGCTCATGGAGTCTTCTTCGGCTTCATCATCGAAGGACCTCACTCTTGGAATATTTTGAATTGGAACTGACAAAGAAAATGAATCACCAAACGACAAACTTTTGTCTGTTTGCGATTTGCCGTAACTTGTGAGTCCAGAAACTGTCAATGCCGAATTCTTCTTCAACACAGACAATGATATATTCGGTTTAGAAATAACCAATGTCCTTGTCTTCTTCTCTTGCGATGGAGAACTTGGCGGAGTAAATATTGGTTTCGGAGAGTTCACGAATTTGATCATTTCAGGAGATTTCTTGCTCAATCTTCTTGGAGGAGACAAAGGTGCTCTTATTGACTCTCCAAATGACTGTGGACTTGAGAAATACTGTGCAAATGGATCAGTTTCGAATGCATTTGGTCGAGCAGAAATGGAAAGTGCAATTGAATTATGAGATTCAATTACAATTAAATTAGAAACAGCCAAACAAATGTCGACACTTTCAGGTTTGACTTCGAATTTTTGGGTGTTTGCATCGACATATTTCTTCCTCTTTATTTCGGAATGGATATGTGCAATTGGCTCCAAAACTTCCATATGCATGAAAGATTTTTCTGGAGGCAAAACATTGATGTGTTTGAAGTCGAATGTCAATCTCGGCAATTGCGAAACAAACGAATATGATGATTGACCACCGACCACTAGGAATGCTTTGTCTTCCGTTGGTGCAATACTCGACATAGTGACAGAACCTGTCTGATGGAACATTGCGAGTTTTCTGTCAATTCTTTCGAATGTTTGGCTTTTAACTGTTGACAAAATGATGTTTTGTCGTGGAACAGATTGAACAACAACAGAATTTGGTTTGAAGATGATGTCAACAGATGAATCATTAAGTTCTGTAACAGACAAAGTTGGTTTCTGTTCTTCTTCTGTTTCGTAAAATGAAGAAATAGAAATATCACAAATAGGAAGATATTTTTCTTCATTTTGTCTCTTTAAGAGTTTCATTATCTTTGATTCTGCTTGGTTAAGAAGAGATTTGTTTCTTTGTTTCAATCTCATGTTTTCTACTTCTAATTTGGCATTTTCTTCTTCAAGTTTTTGAGCTTTTTCTGCTTGTTGTCCAATAGAATTTGTGAATTTTTGTTTCATTGTTTCATATCTATTCTTCATCATTTCTACTCTCATCTTTAGTTTTTCGTTTTCATCAATGATTGAATCTGATTCTTTGACTTTCTTTCCGTAAGCCTTCTCAAGTAAATTGGAGACTCCTGATGTTCCTTCTCTTTCGAAAATTTCCAAATTATCAACAAACAAATTCACTTTTTCATTGGATTTTTCACAACCTTCTATTGTGAAATTCCATGAATTTGTTTGTGTCAAATTAACTGTTCTTTCCATGTTAAGAGAGAGTGGATCAGATACAAGTAAATCAACATCCAAAGATGAAGATTCTCTTGTATTTAACCTGTCACATCCCAAAGAAACGAAATGAGATTCGCAAATGATTGGATCATAAACAGAGTTCTTCTTCGAACTGTAGAATGATTCATTGATCACTGCATGGGAAATGGAAAGATCAATAATATCAGGTAATGGAGGCATCATCTCTATAAATGGTGAAGTATCTCCGATTTGGCCAATTTCGAATGAATTTGGAGCAGAATTTTGCAAATTCAAAATTTCTGTTTTTGTTTGAGAGAAATTCTCAACTAATGATGATGAAACCATGAGATTATTCTCTACAACATGTGATAAACCAAGTATTGGATGATAATCTTTGTGATTCTCGTTGTTGTCAAAGATATCTGATTTCGAAATTTGGAAAATCATCTTTGGTTCATTAATTTGAGGGATATTGTTGAAGTATGATGATGAAGACAATGTAAATGATGGAATTTCCTCATCGTCACTGTTAATCTGTGGAGTATTTTGGTAAATTTCGGAATTCGACAAAGATAATTTTGTTTCATTAAATATTTGTTCACTTACAACATTTTCTGAAACTTTTGGAGGTACTTTCTCATCATATAAATTTATATCTCTGATTGTGGAATTGGAGATCTTTAATTCTTTCTTTTCTTCTTGTTGTGATAAATTGAATTCAAATTTATCGTCACAAATTGAGAGGTTTACATTGTTCTGAATATTTATAATTGAATCTTTCTGAGAAATCAACTTGTATTTGATTGGTAATGGACTGTGGTTACGATAATGGCACTCTGATAACTCGAAAACAGGGATTTCTTCTTGAGAAACAGTTTCTCTCTTTTGTGGAGAAGATTTGACATCAAAAATTTCTTGATTTTGATGATTAAATGTTGTTGTGTGGTAAATGTTTGATTCTATTAGATTGGAAATGTCCAAATTCATGTTATTTGGTAATCTTTCGAATTCATTTGATTCTAAGACTGTTAATTTGACTTTCTTTGGATGATCTAATGATAAAATGTGGTAATCAATAGATGAATACTCAAATGAAGGAGATTCTGATTCATTATCTGCAACAACATTTGTATTCATTGTCATTGTTAATTCTTCTTTCATGAATTCATTTGAAACAGCATCAGAAATGAAAACAAATGATTTTTCATTATTAATGTTGATTTCATTGTTAACAGATGAAATCATTAGATTCGTTTCTGTTTCTAAATCAAATCCTTCTGTTGAAGAAAGATTTAATTTGTTGGAATTTCCAATGAAACCAATTATTTCGTTGTTATTTGATAAAGAAAGATTTGTTTCACTCATCAAATCAATTATTTCATTTGCTGATGAAATGGAAAGATCCAAAATTGGTGTAGATTCAGCAATCAAATTAATTTCTTCATTTGTTGATGACAAAGAAAGTTTGTTTTGTTTGTTTATTGTTATATAATCATAAACAAACCGAGAAATTTTGTTTCTTTGTGATTGATTTTCTAAATCAAATTGTTGAGAACTGAAAATAGATAATGGATTCATTCTCCTCTCGAATGAATTATATGTTATCTCTGAATTATCAAATGATTTCTCTTCTGATTCAATTGAATGATTTTCTGACCAAATTGAACAACTGTGTTTGGTTGGATCAATTGAAATATCAACTAAATTTTGTTTTTGTAAATTAGGAATTTGTTTTTCATTAGAAATGAAATCATCGAAAACAATCTTAGTTGAATAAATTGGTGAAATTAAAGGAACTTCAAACAAAGATGATGTTTCATCCAAAACAAATTTGTTATTTTGTTTGATTTCTATTGGTTCTAAGTTGGAAATATTCATTACTGGTTTGTATGAATATTGTATTTGTGCTGATGAAACATAAGATAATTCATTCTGTTGTTGTTGAATTGGTTGGACAGTGCTAAATGAAATGGAACTCAACTCGAATGTTGGAGAATCAGATTCAACATTGATTTCATTTTCTTCTTGTTTGGAAAGTTTCAAATTGATGTTTGAAACAATTTCTTGTGATTCGAGTTTTTCTAAAGTGAATGAATTAGAAATCTTTGTTGATTCTAGTTCAAATGTTTGGTCATTTGATAAATCAAGTTTAGAAATATTTCTTGGGAACTCAATCTCTTCATGATTTTGAACTATTGACAAAACAGGAACAAATTCATGAGTCTGGAAATGAACATCTGATAAATCAAGTTTAACTTTGTCTTCTTCTTCAAATGATAAATCAACTTCATTGTCATTTCTCTCTAATGAAAGATTGATCTTATGTAATTCAACTTTTTGTTCTTCAATATTAATTTCATTATTATTTGATTCAATAGAAAGAGTTGGTTGTTTGAAGTCATTTTCATATGAATTAAGACTTGAGAAGTCAAGTGGAATTGTTCGTAATAAGTCAATACTTTCATGATTGATTGTGTATGAAAGTGTTGGTTCATGTGAATGATCAATCAAAGAAACATCAGAGACTGAAAGTTGATTAGAATAATCAATGTTTGTGGAATTGATTTCGGAAACTGAAAGTGAAAGATTTTCTTTCTTTTCTGTTGGTTCTTCATTTGTTTTTTCGATTCTACTAACAAATTCGGAATATGTTGTTGTCGAATATTCAAGTGATGTTGGTTCTGAATAAATGTCGATTTCGTCTTGTGATTGTGAGACAATTAATGATTTAGTTGATTCTTTTTCTTCTTGATCAATGATGAATTCAACAGAGGATTCACAAACTTTGATAGATTGTTGTTCATAAATAGATCTGTGATCGGAAAGTTCAAATTGATGTTCTTCACGTTCAATAGTTTCAACAATGACATCACTGAGATCAAGTTTGGATTTATTATTATTTGTTTCTGAATCAATGTCAATGATTGATTCATTATGAACAATGTCAAATGTTGTATTATTTGGTTCTGTGTTGAGATCAATTGAGGATTCGTTTTCTTCAATGGAAAGTGTTGGATGAGCTAAAATTGTTCGTTCTTCTGATGTCGTTCCTGAGATTCTTAATTCAACATTGATGTTGTGTTCGATGTCTGTGATGTCAATGTCCGAGTTAACTGTCAATGATGGTTTGTATTCTGTTTCATGTTGTGATGCTGATGAAATCTCAAGTAATTTGTTGATTCTTAATGATTCTACGTAGAATATTTCATCTCTTTCGAATGAGAATTTCTGTGTCTTCAACATTTCATTTGACATTGAGTTACTCAATGAAAGTTTCTTTGTTTCCTTAATATCTTGTTGAGAAATAGAATTGTGATAAACTTCAGACAATTCAAATTCTTCTTTCTCTGATTTGTTGTTGTCGATAAACAATTGTTCTAAATTAGAAATTGAAGATTCTGTTTGTTTTGGCATTAAATCAAATGAATTTTCTAAATCACAAAGTTGTAACTTAGAAACAAAGTTTTGAGTAACTTCAAATTGAGATAAATCACTTTGTTTAAGATGAGGAAGTTCGTGTTTGATATCTGTTTCTTCTCCTGACCAATGAGTCAACAAATAAACTTTCTTTGTTGGTGAGATTGAAACAGAATCAATTGGATGTGAAATTAATTCCTTGTGAGTTGTATTTAAACTGATTTCAAATGAATTATCACTACTTAAAACAGGTGATTTAATGTCAATATCTCGACTGATGAAGTTTCCTTCTTCTTGTTCAATGTCTGCAACAATATTGTATGTGTTTGAAAGAAGAGAACTGTAAGTGACTGGAGAAATTTCAACATCAGTTGATTTAGTGATTGATAATTGAATTTCATTGTCAATGTCAATTTGTTTGTAATTTGTGTCAATTAACAAATCAACTTTGTTTTCAATGATTTCATTGGATAAAGCAGATGATGAGTGAAGAATGATTTCACGTGGTTCAATGTCACTGACCAAACTATTTGTAGTATTAAATGTTCGATCAACTAAGGATGATTCATAACTGATGATGTTTTCATTAGAAATAACAAATGAATGTGATTTGTCTTCTTTAAATTCTTCAACAATTTCTTTTTCTTCTTCTTCTTCTTCTTTCTCATATGATGTTGTTGTTGAAACATCAAGTTGTTTCTTGGATTCGTCATTTGAAATGAAAATTGTTGGTTGTGAATTCAAAACATTGTTCTGTTTGTGATTGTTATTAATAAACATTGTTTCTTCATTGTGTAATGCAAATGAACTATTAGTATTATCTGGATGATATTCGAATGTTGATAATTTAGAAAGTTCAAATGATTCAGTTTGTTGTTGTGATGAAATGAAAATGTTTTCTTGTGATTTGATTTCGTTATTAGATGAAAATTGTTTGTTGACTTCAAATGAATCAATGGATGAAATATTAAGTTCTGACTTAACAACATTTGATGTGATTTCTTCTGTTGGTTGTGAAACAACACTAAGATTGTGATCTCTTTTATCTGTTTCTTTATCTTTATCTTGTGAATAAACTTCGTTTGTTGAAAGTGTGAGTTTAAGATCATGATCTGTGAACTTTTCTCCAATAACTCTGAAGTAATCAAGTTTGCTGTAATTAAAATCTACTGAATCACTTTCATTGTCTGCAATTACTTCATTGTTGATAGATAACTTAGTTTGGTCATGAATAACTTCATGAGAAAGAATTGTTTCATCAATAGAAATTGATGCTGCTTCATAATGATGATTGTTATCTTCAGAGGTATATGAGGAATGTGATGGTTTGCTTTTATTCAATGAAATCTCTGTTGATTCAACAGTTTCTTCGTTTCCGGGGTAATGAGAAAGAAGATAAACCTTTGGTTGAAGAGAAATTTGTTCTTCTGGTTTTTGAATTGTGATATTTCTTGTAATTTCTGGTTTCTCATGTGAAATATCTTCTGAGAACTCAATTGTTGGTTTGTAAATAGTTTCTGATTTGGTTTCACCATTTTTATATGGAATTTCAACAAATTCATTTGTATAAAGAGAAAGTTTTCTTTCTGTTGTTGGAATCTCATAGAATGTTGAAGAACTAACACTGATTTCATTTGTGATTGGAATGTAAACAAATTGTGATGGTTTGCTAAGTTCAAATTCAGTTGTTGTTGATTCTATTGATGCAATTTCACATTTGTTAACTTCATATTTAATTGGTTCTTTAGTTTGCTCTTCAACTGTTTCATGAACATTCAAATCACCAACTTCAAGTGAAAGATTATGATTTTCATCACTTGGTTGATTATGTGGATCAAGATCTGTGATGTCGATGTCACCTGAAATAACAAGTTGTGCTTCATGAGAAATAGTAGAGTGTAGAGATTCTGAAATATGAAGTGTTTCTTTGGTTTGTTGTTCAACTTCGAATTCATCCAAATGATTAGTAATTGATAAGTTATGTTTCTTTTCTTCATCTTCTTCTTTCATTGCAATGTCAATGATTTCTTGTGAATTAACTGATAAATTAATCTTTTCTTCCTTCTTCTCGAAGATGTTCTGAGAATCAACTGAAAGATTAATTGTTTGTTCGGAAACTTCAAATTCATTCTTTTCTTGTGAAATAGAAACGTTTTGTTTTTCTTCTTCATTCTTTTCGAAGATATCATGTGAATCAATATCTAATTTAATATTTTGTTCTTGTTTTTCAAATTCATTCTTATCCTCTGAAATAGAAACATTAAACTTCTCTTGTTCTTTCTCAAAGATATCATGTGAATCAACGGAAAGATTAATCTTCTGTTTATCTTCGATTTGTTTCTCAAAGATGTCTTGGGAATTAATATCGAATTTGATATTATTTTCTGATTTCTCATATTCGGTTGCTGTTTCTGTGATTGATAAGTTATGTTTAGTCAATTCTTCTTGATCAAAGATATCATGTGAATCAACTGAAAATTGAACATTTTCTGTTTCCGATTTAGAGAATTCATAAACGTCACTTAAAATAGAGATGTTTTGTTTCGTACTTGGTGAATTGGCAACTTCTTGTGAAATAAGACTAAATTGTTGAGGAATTCTTGCTTCAATCTCGAATTCATTGATGTCATCGGTGATAGATAAGTTTTGTGGTGATGAAATCTTGTCAATGATTTCGTTACTTTCAATAGAAAGATTAAGTGTTTTAACTTCTTCTGATTCTGATTCATTGAAGTCTTTATCAACATCTTTACTTTCTACTTCTTTTTCTTCGCAAACAATGTCAATTGAATCATTGTGACAAACAGAGAATTCTTTCGTTTCGTTTTCAATGTCAATTTCATATTTATCGACATTTAATGATGGAACAAATGTAAATGATGATGAAATTGATGTAGAAATTCCAAGTTTTGTTTGAACTTTTTCTGCAAAATTAACAATTTCTTCTGATGAAATCTCGCAATTGAACTTGTTATAGTTATCTTTCTCGCAGTAGAACTGTTCTGTTGGCTTCATAATAGAAAGATTTGGTTGAGAACTGCAGAAATGATGGAATGATTCTGACTTGGAAAGTTTGATTTCTGCTGAATCTTTGAAGTGATAATTTGATTCTGATTGAACTAAATTCGTCTTTTCAGACAAATTATAATCATGAACTTCTAATTCACTTGTTTCTAATGATAATTTATCTTCTGGATCAATAGAAATTGTTGAATTATCAATGGAAGATTCAGTATTTTGTTTGTTATCAATGGAGAATTTCTCAAGTTCTGTGATTGATAAATTAACGATTTCTGGTTTAACAATGTTAACAACAGCTTTGCTAATAGATAAATCACTTGGTAGTATATTGATTTCAGTGATGATTTCATTATGAATTTCTAATTGTTTTTCATCTTTAGACTTAGTAAGATCAACAAAATCATTATAAAGATTTGATTCTAATGAAAGTTTCCTTTGTTCATTAATTTGGTAAATGTTATAAGTAACATCACTTGTTGAGAAATCAATTGATGTTGGTTCAATTACTTCTGTTTCTGAGTTGAAATGAGACAAATTATATGATTTAGAAACAGGAGAAATGTTGATATTCTCAAAGTTAGTTATTGATGATTTGTTTGTTGGAACGAAATCAAATATTGTTTCATTGTAATTTGAAAGTTCTTTGTTTTCATTTCCATCAAATCTGGCGTCTCTTGATAATAACTCTGTTTCTTCTGGAATGATGTTGATTTGTTCAAGTGAAATAACATTGAGAACTGAAGTGTTTTCTTGGATATCAACTGAATGAACAAAATCAGAAAGAACATTTTCGTGTTCTTGTGGAATTTGTTCGAATATTGATGACTCATTTTCACAAATTTCGTATTTGATTTCTTCTTTAGGTAATTCAAATACATTTGTGTCAATTAACAAATCAACTTTGTTTTCAATGATTTCATTGGATAAAGCAGATGATGAGCGAAGAATGATTTCGCGTGGTTCAATGTCACTGACCAAACTATTTGTAGTATTAAATGTTCTGTCAACTAAGGATGATTCATAACTGATGATGTTTTCATTAGAAATAACAAATGAATGTGATTTGTCTTCTTTAAATTCTTCAACAATTTCTTTTTCTTCTTCTTCTTCTTTCTCATATGATGTTGTTGTTGAAACATCAAGTTGTTTCTTGGATTCGTCATTTGAAATGAAAATTGTTGGTTGTGAATTCAAAACATTGTTCTGTTTGTGATTGTTATTAATAAACATTGTTTCTTCATTGTGTAATGCAAATGAACTATTAGTATTATCTGGATGATATTCGAATGTTGATAATTTAGAAAGTTCAAATGATTCGGTTTGTTGTTGTGATGAAATGAAAATGTTTTCTTGTGATTTGATTTCGTTATTAGATGAAAATTGTTTGTTGACTTCAAATGAATCAATGGATGAAATATTAAGTTCTGACTTAACAACATTTGATGTGATTTCTTCTGTTGGTTGTGAAACAACACTAAGATTATGTTCTCTTTTATCTGTTTCTTTATCTTTCTCTTGTGAATAAACTTCGTTTGTTGAAAGTGTGAGTTTAAGATCATGATCTGTGAACTTTTCTCCAATAACTCTGAAGTAATCAAGTTTGCTGTAATTAAAATCTACTGAATCATCACTTGTTTCTTCTTCTTCAACAGTATATTGTTTGGAAGAAATTTCTGAGAATCCAAATGATGTAGACAAAATTGATTCAACATTAACTTCTTCAACTGAACTCTTAAGAGTTAATGATGGTGAATAGTAGAAGTTTGAGGAAGATTCTGTTGAAATATCAAGTTTAGTCTTTTGTTCTTCAATATTAATTTCATTATTGCTTTCGTAAATGGAAAGAGTTGGTTGTTTGAAGTCATTTTCATATGAATTAAGACTTGAGAAGTCAAGTGGAATTGTTCGTAATAAATCAATACTTTCATGATTGATTGTGTATGAAAGTGTTGGTTCATGTGAATGATCAATCAAAGAAACATCAGAGACTGAAAGTTGATTAGAATAATCAATGTTTGTGGAATTGATTTCGGAAACTGAAAGTGAAAGATTTTCTTTCTTTTCTGTTGGTTCTTCATTTGTTTTTTCGATTCTACTAACAAATTCGGAATATGTTGTTGTCGAATATTCAAGTGATGTTGGTTCTGAATAAATGTCGATTTCGTCTTGTGATTGTGAGACAATTAATGATTTAGTTGATTCTTTCTCTTCTTGATCAATGATGAATTCAACAGAGGATTCACAAACTTTGATAGATTGTTGTTCATAAATAGATCTGTGATCGGAAAGTTCAAATTGATGTTCTTCACGTTCAATAGTTTCAACAATGACATCACTGAGATCAAGTTTGGATTTATTATTATTTGTTTCTGAATCAATGTCAATGATTGATTCATTATGAACAATGTCAAATGTTGTATTATTTGGTTCTGTGTTGAGATCAATTGAGGATTCGTTTTCTTCAATGGAAAGTGTTGGATGAGCTAAAATTGTTCGTTCTTCTGATGTCGTTCCTGAGATTCTTAATTCAACATTGATGTTGTGTTCGATGTCTGTGATGTCAATGTCCGAGTTAACTGTCAATGATGGTTTGTATTCTGTTTCATGTTGTGATGCTGATGAAATCTCAAGTAATTTGTTGTTATTTATTGATTCTTCTTTAGGTAATATTTCAATTGGTTCAGTCATTGAAACAAGGGAAAGTTGACTCTCAACATTTTCGTAGTAAACATAAGAAGCTTGGCAATGATTTGCATTTGATAATGACAAAGCGTTGTGGAGATATCTGAAATCTTGATCTGTTTCCAAGTAAAAGATTTCTTCTCTGATCCAAGAAAGTTTTGGTTTCTGAGTGAAATCATTCGACAATGAATCACTTATCAACAAATCCTTTGTTTCTGATTCGTTTGTGAATGATGTATAAACAGAATTGCTGTAATCAAAGCTCAATTCTGTTTCATTCTTTATGTCTCCAATTGTTTCATCATGTTTAGAAAGAACTTTTTCATTATAAACTTCTTCGTTTGATAATGATAAACTTAATTCTAAAACAGGTAATTGATGAATGACTTCAAATGGTTTTTGTTCAATCAATGATAATGAAACGGATTTGATTTGATTATCAATGTAATAAACTTCGCTTGAAACAACGGACAAAACAGGATTTTCTTTCTTTTCTTGATAAGAAACTGCCAAATCTTTTTCTTCTTCATTTGGTTGAGAAATTAATGGGAATTCAAATGAATCTAAAACAATTGTTTCATATTTAACAATCTTCTGTTCATTGTTAAATGAATTGATGTCATTTGAAATTGATAATTCATTCTTTGTTGGTAAATCAATTTCATATGAATTTTGACTAATAAATGTCAAAGATTTTTGAAGAATTGGAACTTCAAACGATTCTAATAACTCTTTTTCATATTTAGTTTGTTTCTCTTCTTTCTCTAAATACAATGAATCATTTGAAACAATCGAAAGAAGTGGAGAATAACTGTTAATTATGTCAAATGAATCAAATTTAACTGTTTCATATTTAACTGAAATTTGTTCGTTATTGATTGAGAAATCATTGTTTGAAATTGATAATTCTTTCTTTGTTTTCTCTATTTCAAATGGATCAAATTTAACTGTGTCTAATTTAATCTCATTCTTCATATTTTCGACAAAGAAATCAGTATTAGAAATCTCTAATTTCTTATTAACTTGTTCGAATTCAAATGAATCTAAAACTATGGTTTGAAGATTGATTTCATTTTGATTTTCAACAAAGAAATCATTATTAGAAATATCTAATTTGATCTTCTTTGTTTGATCAATATCGAATGAATCCAAAATAACTTTTTGAAGTTCAACAACTTTCTTTTCATTTTCAACTAAAACTTTCTTTGCTTGTTCGATTTCAAATGAATCTAAAGCAATAGTCTTAAGATTGATTTCATTATGATTTTCAACATAGAAATCATTGTTAGAAATCTGTAATTTCTTCTTTGTTTGTTCTATTTCTAATGGATTATGAGAAATTAAGTTGAAATCATGTTTGATTTCAGAAATTTCATTTGTTTGTGAATCGGAAATAATTAGATCTAATTTTTCTGCCAAATCTAGATGGTTATGAACTGATTTACTCATTTCAAGTTGTTGTTGTTCATTAGAAATATCGGAAATGATTTCATTATATTTCTCTAATTTCTGTTCATTTTGGATTTCGAAATCATTAATTACAAATGATTCTAATTTAGGTTTGTAATCAACAACAACATTTGAAACAGTTTCAAATGATTCTAAACCAATTTCAAGTTTGATTTCTTTCTTATTTTCTTCATTCTGGTAATTGAAATGAGAAATGTTACTCGTTTCAAATGAAATTGATTCTGATTTGATTTCTGTTTCTTCACTACTCCAATGACTCAACAAATAAACTTTCGGAGAAATTGATATTTCATCGAATTTGTCCAAATTGAATTTGTTTGTTTGATTTGGAACGAAATCAAATACAATTTCATTGTGATTGGAAAGTTCTTTTTGCTCACTTAAGTCAAACTTTGCATCTCTACTTGCAATCTCTTGTTCTTCCTCTTCTTCAGTGATGACTTTAGAATAAGAAACTTTACTTAATTCGAATTCATTCTTTGTTGGAACGAAATCAATTTTTTCATTTTGATTTAAGGATAAATGATTTTCTTTGATGATAGAAATTGGTTCTAACTCAGAATTAATTGACAAATCAACTTTCTTTTCAATAATTTCATTCGACAAAACATTGGATGATCTAAGAACAATTTCTCTTGGTTCTATTTCACTTATAACAGAAGTTGTCGTAGAATAACTTGGAACAGAATAAGAACTTGTTGTAGTAAAGATTTCTTCATTTGTTTGAGTCAATTCAGGAATCTTTTCTGGATCAATATTTCCAACAATAGAACTAACAACTGAATAAGCAGGTTTTGTATAATTGTTAGTGAATATTTCTTCATTTGTTTGTGTAAATTCATGGTAAATTTCTTCATTTACTGGATCAATACTTCCAACAATAGAATTAATAACTGAATAAACATGCTTTTGAATATTTGTTTGTGTTATTGATTCATTTTGATCAATTTCGGTAATTACTGATGTATCAATGGAATAAACAGGTACATAATAAGTACTTGAAAAGATTTCTTCATTTGTTTGTGTGAGTTCACGGTTAATCTTTGGTAAATCTTCAATAATTGGTGAAGAAGTTCTTAATACAATTTCTCTTGGAATGAAATCTCCAACAACAGAATTTAATGTAACAAATGTTGGAATTTCTTGGGATGATTTAGTATTAAATACTTCTGTGTTGATTGTTGTCATGTTTGGAATTGAATCAAATGTGAATGAATCATAATTCATGTCACTGAATTTGAGTTCAATTTCTTTTTCTGACAAAACAAATTCTTGAGAAATTGAAGTCAAAAGATTTGATTTTTCATGGGAATCAAATGAATCATAATTCATTTCACTCATTTCCAAATCAACTTTGTTATCAACAGTTAAATGTTTGGATTCAGAAATAGACAAACCTTCTGTTTCTAATGGAATATAATTGAAGAAAGATGACTTAGAAATTTCAAATTCTGGAGTTTCTTCTTCAACTGATTGTGTTGAAACATCATATTTGATTTCATCATTCTGGCAATAGAATTGTTCTGTTGGCTTCAAATGAGAAAGATGTGGTTTCTCCATCTCAATGAAATTGAAGAATGAATCAGAAGAAGACAATTTAATGGTTGGTTTATCACTGAAATTGTAAAATGCTTCGGATTGAACTAAATTTAATTGTGGCTTTGAAATTTCAAATGTTTCAGATTGAATGACTCTGTTTGATTCTGTTGGAGAAATATCAATAATTTTTTCTTTAGTTATTGATAATTCTTTTTGTTCTGTGAAATCAAAATTCATATCTCTTGAATTGATTTCGTTTTCTTTAACTTCAGAAATGATATTTATTGGTTCTGATTTGTAATTCATCAAATTAGAATCATTTGTTTTGATTGATTCATAATTTGTTGAATCAGAAACAACAAAATTAACTTTGTTCTCTGTTCTTTCATTAACTAATGATTTAGATGATTCCAATTTGATTTCATTTTCAATTTCAAACTGGTTTTGTTGAGAAATAGAAAGTTCTGTATTAATTATTGGAGAATAAATGAAATAACTTGATTTGCTCAAATCTAATTTTTGTTCTTCGTTGTCAATATGTATTTCATCTAATTTAGTTTGTTCTAAATGAATTTCTTTCTCTTCTGAAGCGAATTGGACATCAAACTGTGAATATTCGAGATTAACAACTTCATAAGGAATTTCAACAATTTCGTTTGTATTTAATGAAAGATTTGAAACATTTTCAAGTTTTTCATGAGAAAGTTCTTGGGAAATGTCAATCTTTGGTCGAGAAATTTCTGATTTAAGTTCAACAACATTGTTTGTATTCAATGATAAATTAACTTTTCTTGTAGTTTCTGGTTTTTTATGTGAAATATCTTCTGAGAATTCAATTGTTGGTTTGTAAATTTCAGATTTGGTTTCAACATTTTCATATGGAATTTCAACAAATTCATTTGTATAAAGAGAAAGATTTCTTTCTGTTGTTGGAATCTCATAAATTGTTGATGAGCTAACACTAAATTCGTTTTGTGTTGGAATGTAAACAAATTGTGTTGCTTTGCTAAGTTCAAATTCAGTTCTTGTTGATTCAATTGTTAAGATTTCACATTTGTTAACTTCATATTTAATTTCTTTGGTTTGTTGCTCAACTTCGAATTCATCCAAATGATTAGTAATTGATAAGTTTTGTTTCTTTTCTTTATCTTCTTCTTTCATTGCAATGTCAATGATTTCTTGTGAATTAACTGATAAATTAATCTTCTCTGTTTCTTTCTCAAATACATCATGAGAGTTAATATCTAATTTAATCTTCTGTTCTTGTTTTTCGAACTCATTGATGTCATCAGTTATAGATAAGTTTTGTTTCTCTTCATTCTTTTCAAAGATTTCATTGGAATTAACAAATAAATTGTTATTCATTTCTTTAACTTTGAATTCATTCTTTTCTTGAGAAATAGAAACATTTGGTTTCTCTTTCTCAGATATGTCAATAATATTATGGGAATCAACTGAAAGATTGATCTTTTGTAGTTCAAATTCGAAACTATTTACATCTTTGGTAATTGATAAGCTTTGTTTTTCTTGGTTCAATTCAAAGATTTCGCTAGAATTCAAACTTAATTCTTGTTTTTGAACTTCTTCTCTTTCAAATTCATTCAAATCATTATTAACTGATAAATTAATCTTTTCATTCTTTTCGAAGATGTTCTGTGAATCAACTGAAAGATTAATTGTTTGTTCGGAAACTTCAAATTCATTCTTTTCTTGTGAAATAGAAACATTTTGTTTCTCTTCTTTCTTCTCAAAGATATCATGTGAATCAATATCTAATTTAATATTTTGTTCTTGTTTTTCAAATTCATTCTTATTCTCTGAAATAGAAACATTAAACTTCTCTTCTTTCTTCTCAAAGATATCATGTGAATCAATATCTAATTTAATATTTTGTTCTTGTTTTTCAAATTCATTCTTATTCTCTGAAATAGAAACATTAAACTTCTCTTGTTCTTTCTCAAAGATATCATGTGAATCAACGGAAAGATTAATCTTCTGTTTATCTTCTATTTGTTTCTCAAAGATGTCTTGGGAATTAATATCGAATTTGATATTATTTTCTGATTTCTCATATTCGGTTGCTGTTTCTGTGATTGATAAGTTATGTTTAGTCAATTCTTCTTGATCAAAGATATGATGAGAATCAACTGAAAATTGAACATTTTCTGTTTCCGATTTAGAGAATTCATAAACGTCACTTAAAATAGAGATGTTTCGTTTCGTACTTGGTGAATTGGCAACTTCTTGTGAAATAAGACTAAATTGTTGAGGAATTCTTGCTTCAATCTCGAATTCATTGATGTCATCGGTGATAGATAAGTTTTGTGGTGATGAAATCTTGTCAATGATTTCGTTACTTTCAATAGAAAGATTAAGTGTTTTAACTTCTTCTGATTCTGATTCATTGAAGTCTTTATCAACATCTTTACTTTCTACTTCTTTTTCTTCGCAAACAATGTCAATTGAATCATTGTGACAAACAGAGAATTCTTTCGTTTCGTTTTCAATGTCAATTTCATATTTATCGACATTTAATGATGGAACAAATGTAAATGATGATGAAATTGATGTAGAAATTCCAAGTTTTGTTTGAACTTTTTCTGCAAAATTAACAATTTCTTCTGATGAAATCTCACATTTAATTTTTTCTTTCTCGCCAAAGTTAAATGAAGAATAAACAGAGTTAGAAATATCCAATTGATATCTTTCATCAGTCAAATCAATACTTACATTGTAAATATCATTATCCAATTTCATATTTGGAGATAATTTGTCTGTTGATTGTGTTTCTATTTCATATCTCAAAGGAGTAGACAAATCATTCTCACAATAGAATTGTTCTGTTGGTTTCATGACTGATAGTTTTGGTTTCGATTCAAAGAAATGATGTGTTGATCCTGATTTCTCAAGTTTGACTTCATTTGAATCTCTAAATACATAATTGGATTCAGAAGTTGTTAAATCATTTTGATTTTGGTCGAAATTATGTTCATCAACGAAACTTTCTGATAAATTAACTTTAGATTCCTTGTCACTGAACTGATAATTCATTTCACTGACTTCAAGTTTATTTGTTTCGTTTTCTTTATCGAAATCATTTGAAATTTCATTGATTTCTAATTTAACTTGGTCAGATAAAGTGAAATTGAAATGAGAAGGTTGTGATTCACTCAAAGAAGGAATTGTTGCTTCTATAATCTCTGTTTCACTTTGATATCTCGTTAAGTTATAAACTTTCTTCTCAGGTGAAAGTGAAATGTCATGTAAAGTATTCAAAGATAACAGTTTTTGTAAACCAGAATTGTCATAAAATTCATCTCTTAACTTGATGATTTTAGAGTTAATTTCACGAAGAGGAACTTCGAATGTATCTAGTAATTTGATTTCACTAAATATATTGGTTTGTTTCTCTTCTTCATTGATTTTTTCTTCTGGTTTAATTTCGATGATTTCTTGTTCTTTGATATTGAATTTGTTTTGTTTTGGTTGGATAGATATAAGTGTTTGTGATATTGGTGATAAACTAAGTGGTTTTTGTAGATCAATTATGCATGTGCAATCATTTGAAATTGATAGTTTTTGTTTGTAAAACTCGTTTTGATCAACTAAATTCAATGATTGTTCAGTGAAAATTTCTGATGTTGAAAGTGGATTTCTTTCAAATGATGAGTGGTCAATGATATTTGTTACTAATGTCAATTGTGAAGGTATCTGTTCCACAAACTGATGTGAAACATCACTCATTATCAGCTCAAATTCATTTTCATTATTAGAAACACTTAAATTATTTCTTTCAACAACATCATTATTTTCAACATTTTCTGGAATATTTTCTTCTTCATTTTCTTGATGATTTGCTTCTTTAGTGTCATTTTTATCTGGATGGGACTCTTCTTCGCCATTATTTTCTTCTGTTGGATTTTTTGAAATTGTCACTTTTTCTTTTTCATTTTCATTTTGATTTTCGTTTGGAGCGATGTATAAGTAATATGTTGGAACAGTTGCACAAGAAAGAAGTGTTTCGTTTTGAGTAACTTCCTTGTGATGGAGAGCTGTACTGAATGAGAATTCAGGTATTTTCTGTTCGATTGGTTCTGAATCGAATGATTGGAACTCAAATCCGTAATGAGGTAGAGTTGATGGATCGAAGAAGAATAGTTCTGATGGTTTGGAATAGCTGAGTTTAGACATCTGTCTGAACTGATGTTTTTCGTTGACATTTGATGTCTCCAATTTAATCTTGTCTGCCTTAGATTCAACGAAGAATGATTCATTGGAAATTTCCAACAAATTTGTTTCATTTCCTATTCTTATGAATTCATTTGAATTATCAGAGAAAGACAAATTATTTTGTTTATAATCTTTGTCAAATGATTCGATAGGAGATAAAACATTTCTTATCTCAGGAGAAATGGAAGCATGGTATTCAAAGATAATTGGATCAATGTTTAACTCATTTTTGTTGTTTTCAACATCAAATGTTTCTTCGGTACAAATTGTCAGTTTTTGTGAATTCTTTTCATCATTAAATTCGTAAATGACAATATCAGATATAATTGGTTGTTTGTTTTCGTTGAAACCAATTGTATTGAAGACAGATTTGGAGATTTCAAACTCTGGAATATTTAATTTTTCACTTTTTTCTGGTAAAAGTGACAAATTTTTATCATCATCCAAAATCATCAATGATCTTTCTTTGATTTCTCCTTCTTCCTCTTCTTCTTCATTTTCATTGTTGTTTTGTAATGAAAATTCTGGTTGTGATAGTTGTAAAAGTGTCATTTCTTTGTCACTTTTCTGATTAATTTCTGGTTGAGAAATTTCCAAAAATGGTTCGAATTTTTCTGATTTGTTTTGTAATGAAAATTCTGGTTGAGAAATTTCCAAGAATTTGGCTTCATTTTCATTATTATTTTGCAAAGAAAATTCTGGTTGTGATAATTGTAAAAGTGTCATTTCTTTGTCACTTTTCTGATTAATTTCTGGTTGAGAAATTTCGAGGAGTATCTGAGAAATGTCTTCTTTGTTTGGAAGATTGATTTCTGTGTTTGAAATCTCTAAGTTTGGTTCTTCTTTGTCACTTTTCTGAGAAAATTCCAGATTAGAAATCATCAAAACATTTCTTTCTTGGTTATCATTGTTATCGAACACATGGAACAATGATGATGACAGTGAAAGGTTTTGTTCTTCACTCTTTACTGGTGAAATGTTGATATTTGAGATTTCTGTCATTGTCAAACCGTTTTCAAATTGAGAGTTATCGTTTTTAATATTGAAATTCGATACTTCACTGTATTTGAGGTCAGAAGGAAGTTGAATTTCATCCAAACTCTCAATTTGTGACATTGAAAGAGTTGTTTGACTAATTTCTGTTTCTGATTTAATCGAAGGAATGACAAAGAATGTCGGGATTTGAGAAATGGAGAGATCATTTGATCTATCATTGATATTGATGATGTTCTTGATATCACTCAATACAAATTCTTTCTCATTTCCTTCATTTACGGAAATTAAATTCTCAATTTCGGACATCGACAAAACAGGAGGTTCAAATAAGTTGGTCAATGTATTTTGATCGACAAATTTATCACTTTCTTGTTGATTTTCTTGTAAATCTTGTAAATCAACATGAGTTTCTTTGAGTTCTGATGGCTGAAGTTGATTTCCTTGTTCAGCATCTGAAATTGGAAGGTGTAATTCAACAATTTGTTTGCAAATTTTGAGTTTATCTGAAAATATTTGTTCAAATTCGACAAAATTGGATTGGATCAACTGGAATGTTGAATAAGCCAAGTTCATCTCAATGATATTGTCCGATAAAACAAGTTTTCTTCTTTGATTTTCCAAATTAAATTGATCAAATTTCTCAAACTTCAGATCCTTAATATCTCTTTCAATAGAAATGTTCTCATTTTGGGTTATTTCAAGTTTGATCTCTTCTTTTTGTGGAATTTCTTCAATTTCAGATTGAATAATAATATTCTGTCCAAATGATTCAGAAATTGATAGTTCTATTGGTTTCTCTGGTTCGGCTTGTTCTGATTGTACTATTGGAACTACGTTTTCTTTGATTTCAGAAATTTCATCTGAAATCGGCAAATTAATCTCAGTATAACTTGAAAACATGAGATCAATATGTCCATTTTGTTGATTTGAATCAGAATTATCAAGTAAATCTGTTGTTTCAGATAATAATTTTTGAGATTCCAAATTATCATAAGAAAATTCCAAAACAGAAGACATTTCTATCTTAACATCTTCATTGTTATCATATTGGTGATAATCAATTTCCGAAATTTCGATCAATGGTCGAACAATATTTTGATCAACAGCAGAAATATGTGTCTCGACGCTTGAGCTTTCATCAATTTCTGCGGTTGTGAACTCAAATCCTACATCTCGTGCATGAATTTGATCAAAATCTTCTTCGTAATCATTTTCGGAATTTTGAGATGATTTCGGAGATTTGTGTCCTTCATTTGGCTCATTTGACTTTGTTTCAGTTTGAACAGGTTGAGCAAAAATAATTTGAGTCGGTTGAACGGAATATTTTGGCTTAACGTAGAACGGATCATATAATTCATAATTTCCTGGATGTTGGCTATCAATATTTTGTATTTGATTGATATCATTAAGTAATGAAATATTAAGATTATCTTGTTCAGGATTTATTTGATCAATTGCGCTTGTATCATTAATATCTTCTTGTGAAAGTTGTTCTGTAACGTTTTCTTTCGATGGTTCTTCAATATCGACATCAATTGGTTGTATTTTTTCTAATTGAGAAGCATTTGTTGGTTCAACGTTTGATGTAACCTCTGACTCTTCACTGTAACCTTCTTGTGACTCGTTAGAAGCTGAATGAGAATAAGATTGGTCTCCATCTTCTTCATGATGGACAGGTGGTATGCTGATATTGATTCTCTCAACAGGAGGAATGGCTCTGTAGTCAGGGAATGGTAAATATGGAACATTTATGTGTTCAAATTTTTCAAACGCGAGTCTGTTGATAATTGAGAGTGGAACATATTCATCTTCTGCTGAATATTTGAAGTTCTTCTTTCTTTCGAAAACTTCTTCACTCTGAATTGTAAAATTGTTTTCTTCAGGAATCGCGGTGATTTCATTTTGTACTTCGCTGATAGTTAATCTGTTGCAAACTGATTTTTGATGGTCTTTAATAATCTGCTCTTCGGATTTACCAAAAATAATCGGAAAAGATTGTTGATTACTTTCCGTAATTTCAATATTCGATTTGGCAAAGTCGACAATTGCATCTGTATGAATGATTTCGTTATTATCTTGAGAATTTTGTTCGACTATTTTGTTGAAATGAATATTAATTTGAGGTAAAAATCTAGATAATATAGTTGGAACTATATGTTCACCAATTTCACTGTAAACATTCTCTGAAGAAAGTGGTTTGTCGCTTTTATTTTCTATTTTAACGTGGTCAGCAACAATTTCAACGTTATCTTCTGATGGAAAGAGAATAGCATCCGGAGAATCGCGGCAAGTGATGCTGTCTATTGAGATTTTTGCAGATTCGGTGTCTTCTGTGACATCCTGAATGCAATATTCTCCATCTGAATCTTCTTCAAACTGTCTATTAGATAAAGAAGATCGTCTCTTATGCCTTTTTAGTGCTAACATTGCATTAAGGCCTGCATATCCCAGTAAGGGAATTAGCAGGATAAGCAAGTTATCCATTCAAAGGCAAAATTTTATTTCCAGATTTTCAGGGGGAGGGAAGACCAAATAAAAGGGTTTGATTATTTTAATTTGTCTTGGGAAATAGTGGAATGTAATACTTATAAAATGTGACGAATGAAAACTGTATTTTTGTGCGATTTACTTGAAGATTCTCTTTCAAATATTCAAATTCCATGAATTTTATGGAATTTAAATCGTGCAAATTTTATTATTTATATTAGTTTTCATGAACAACCTATTGTTTTCTAAATTTTCCTTCAAATTTTGAAGTTTTATTTATAAGTCAGCAATATTTACAAATTTGATTCGTTAAAACAAAAGAACTTTTTGTGCTTATATGACTTATTAGGTCTAAATGATAAGACAGGATTATAAAAAATTTGAAAAAAACGCGGCCAAGCGAACATTACTCATATATTTTCTAGCCATTCGCTATGGTATCATTTTTTACTGCTGCGATCATCAAATTCAATAAAAAATCTCAAAGTTACTCCATTTTTCAAAAATGTCCAAAACTCGAAATGACTCTCATCGAGCAGAAAGAAACAAATTGCAAACTGAAGTACGCAACAAATATAAGCAAGAGGTTCCGGAGAATCTCCATGAATATGAAGCGTACAAAGAATTAATAATCAACCGTAATTGGAATCACAATGTCCTTCAAACTATATGTAAAAGAGGTGGTGATTACTTGGTGAATGTAGTTTACAAAAACTCCTCGCTTAAACCATATCATGAGGTATATCGCAATATAAGAGTTGCGATATGGTTTTTGCAAAAGAATTGGGGAGCACTATCCCATACTCCAATATTTCCACACCACCGCCAACAATAAGGGTGTAATCAATAGGATTGACATAAATCTCCCATTAGTCCAACCGGAAGTGGTTTTAATTAACAGCAAAGGTCCAATTGGTCTTTTCAAGAACACACGTCAAACGAAAAGGAAAATGAAAGAACTACTACAGCAAGGCAAAGAAGAAGCAATTTCATTCGTCCCTCAGGAAGAATTCCTCGACGATGTCTTTTCTCCTCCAGAGCCATGCATAAGTAATGATGATCTCTTTTCCGAATTTATATTTTGATACCCACTATCTGATCTCATTCCTTGGAGCATGAATAGCTTAGGGAATTTTGATCGATAGAAGGGTGTCGGAATTCTTTTTCAAACGTATTTTAATAAATACTTTGACTTCTCATTAATTTATAGAAATTTAAAATTTTCCATTCATTCCAACTTTGCTTTAGGTATTTAAATGTATTTATTTTTAGTCTAAAACGCTTTAGGTACCAACTTTGCGGATCGAAGATCCGCAAAGTTGGTACTGTCTATTTTTATATTAAAAAGTATGTTATTATATGGGGAAAATTAGAGATTTGGATTCATTCCAAGCAGAATATCGATATAGGAAAATTCTATCGTCATGATCGGAACGATGAATTTTTTTTTCGAAAAATGTCCATTCCTGAGCAAAATTTGTCCATGGATCAAGTTGGACAATTTTTTAAGGCTTGAATGGGATGATTTTTATGGGGAAGATCTTTCCAATACACAATATGAAGACGAAACAACAAATCTTCTAAAAACTGATCAAAATTACTACGTAAAGCACTGTCTCTTTGCCGAAAATATTAAATCAAGTGCTATTAATTTTCAAACTTCGAAAGATACAACAAAACTATTAGTTGATACTTCCCAATTTTTAAATTGTAGTAATTCCAAAGCTGGAGGAAGTTTATTCTTCTCCAGTGAAGGTGAATGTGTCCAAGATCGAATAATAAGTGACTCATCAAAAGTAACAACAACATATACTTATGGAGTTTATTGTTATTCAGATGTTTCAAATAAAGAATCATTCCAAAACAAAATTCTTTCATCTTCGATTACTAAAAGTGGAGAAAATAACTTAGGATATAGAAATATTTACCTAAAAAATGGAAAAATTAATTTCACTAATTCAAATATTTCTCATTCAAAATGCAATGGAAGAAGTGTTTCTTGTTTTGAAAGTTATTTAACTGATTCAAAAGTTTTATTTTCTATATTTTATGATAATAAAGATAATACTCCAAGTGATGCTGCCCCTGTTAACCTTTATAATTCACCATCATCAAATATTCTATTTGAAGCAACAAATTTCCAAAATATTACTGATTATTGGTTAGTTTATGCATATAAATCTCCAACAAATTTAACAAAATGTTGTTTCTCAAATAACAATATTTCTCAATATTATTTCTATGGAGATAGTGCCAAAATTACAGTTGATAGATGTTTCATTGATGTAAGTCCAATTAAAGGAGGAACAGTTGAAATAACTAACGAAATCAAAGATACATCTAACATAGATATTTGTAAAACATACTATGAACTCGAATATCAAATTCTTGATATCAATAAAAATAAATTCACAAAGAATATTTTGAAAATATTGAGAAAGCTCGAAAATATATTAAATTTTCAAACATTTCTATAAATTTAATAAACTTCACATCAAACAAATAAATTTTTTCTTTTTCTGAAAGTCACTCACGCTAAGAGTTTTCATGACTTAGAATCAAAGTTATTATATTAGTGTAATATAAGCTATATTATTATATTATGATGCATGGCGTAGCATTGCTAGAAAACTCTTATTGATTTATATATTCAATTTTAAAAATTGAGAGAGTGGAACCGGTTCCGATGTTAATTGAAACCAACCATTTGTTATATATCTATATTCCTTTGCAAATAATCATTTGCTATAATGGGTTAATCTTTTTAAAAAATAATTTTTATTAATAAGTAAAAAACATCATGAAATAATAAATAATAAATAAAAATAAATATTTTGTTAATGTGATGAGAATCGCTTGATCAATGCTGAGATCTGTTGCATTCGGCCAGGTTTGGCAAGGTATGCGTCCATGCCTGCATCCATGCAAACTTGTTAGAGTTTGGTTATTTATGTCAAAAAAAAATTCTATCCTTTATTTCTTTGAGATCATTTATTTTTCTACATTTATAGAAAATTTTTTAATATCCAATCAAGACATAGGCCCAAATAAATTCAGTGAATTACGAAGTATCTATAAATACTACATCGATTCATTTACTGCATTGTATCAGCTAAAAACGGAAAATGAAGAAGAATTAAATTCAATTTACAAAATGATCAAAGCAATTCATGCAGAAAATACAATTTATAGAGCAATTATGAATAATGACAAAGAAAGATTCATCGCATTCACTGAAAGAGAAGAATTTGATAAAGATCAAAAACTTGAAAGCAGTTTATATCCAAAATATGGCTACAATTCATTACTTGAATTATGTTGTTACCATGGAGCTATTGATTGCTTCAAGTTCTTAAGAATGAAATTCACCTCAGAAATAACTACAAAATGTCTAGAATTTTCATTTTTAGGAGGAAATTCAGAGATAATGAGTGAATGCTTGAAATAATTATTTCACACAACCTTGATTTTGTTACATTCCTGATGAATGAGTACAATATAGAAATCGATTTAGAAGTTTGTGCAATTTACAAAAATCTTGAATCCTTTTTAGTTTATTTCGATCAAACTAATGATATAAACAAATGCTTTGTTTATTCAGTGATTTTTAATATTTCATCCCTTATCCAATACTTCCTTTCACATGGTGCGAGTATCAATGAAAAAAATAAAGATGGATATACCGCTCTTCACATTGCCACAGATAATAATTATAAAGAAATTGTCAAACTCCTTATTTCACATGGTGCAAATATCGATGAAAAAACTAATAATAGAGAAACTGCTCTTCATGTTGCAGCACGTTTTTATAAAAAAGAAACTATCAAACTTCTTACTTCATACATGAATAAATACTCATATAGAAGATTAATAATATCTTCGTTCTTAATCTGGAGTGTGACATCTTTAGATGTGTGTCCTACGCTTTCAACACCACTCAAATCGATGTCTCCATGAGAAAGGAGAATTTTCAAAATTTTCTCAATCGTTGATTTAAGTATTGACGTTAGACATCGACATGTTCCTGCTTTATAAACTCTTCATCAAAACTAGTTGATCCGCATTTCGCTGTAAGGTGGAGATATGTCCACTGGATGGAGTTTAAGTCTGAGAATTGATTCGCTGCAGCGATGTGTAGAGGTGTGAAGCTGAAATTTTCAAAAAGTTGTGGTTTAACATCTTTGATATTCAGAAGACAACTGATATGCTTTTTAATACAATAGTAGTTTCACTTTTTGCAAATGAACTCAATATTTATTCTCACTAGAAATAAAGAAATTAAAAACTATCACTTTTTGGGACATCAAAAGTACTTTTTTGCAAACTAAAATAATTATATTAATTATGTGTGATCAAAATATATATTAGAATAAAGTGATTTGGAATTAATCTTAGATTCTAGATGAAGAATACAATGATAGTGTATATGGAGTGATCTGATTATAAAAACTATAATAAGATGTTTTTAGATTATTATGTTACTACAAAAAATAGTATAAAAAATTTTAAACAAAAACTACAAAAGGAATTATTTTCTTGATAATTTTTCGCATTCAGATGCTAATTTGTGATTTCCTGTTGCACTTGCAGCTGATTCTATAATTAAGTATCCTTCTTTCTTTCCGTATTTCTTCGCAACTTGCATTGCTTCTTGCAAGAAATTAAACTTTGCAAGTAAACTAATTTGAAGTTCAGCACCTTTAATATGTGTAACAATGAACTGAGGAATATTTGTTTTCTTTAATTTTGGTGTCAAAACTGTCATAATCATTGTTGCAAGTTTAGCATAATTATTCGAATCCATTTTATCAGCCATTTTCGCAAGAATGTCCTTAATAACATCTATACCTGCGTACTCAACTTTTCCAACTAATTGCTCAACAACATCTTGCAAGCAGTTCTGGCTGTCAGCAATTTGAACAGCCAATGTAAATTCTTGGTTAAACAAACAAACTAAACTCATTTGCAAAGCACTGGAATCGCTTGTCAATATATCATGGTACTTATTAAACCTTATCTTTGTGTTTATGCACATCTCAATATACTGTCTTTGCAACCTCGAAAGCTGTTCAATTTTAGAAAATCTTACAGAAGGAATCTTAAAAACTGCGTGTTTTCCTGTTCTGACACTTTTTTCTCTACTTATTGCTGCTTGAAGAAGGTCGATTTTAGAGAGCCATTCCTTCCATGATGAATGATCATTCTCTGCATCAAGAAGTGTCTCTATAGCATCTTCAAACAAACCAAGTTTAAGCTGTGCATCAGCCAAAGTTAGAAGCATTCTATTTATTCTAAAATAATTCAAAATTCCTTCCAAAGTTTTGAAATCATCTCTGTCTTTATCATTTCTCGCGAGATATTGCCACAACTGCTGTATTTGTTGTGAATAAACAGCTGGTTTAAGAATTCTTTCTATTGCGCAATGCTCTGACTGCAAAATTTCAGGTAATCTCCTCCAAACATCGAATAATTCCTTAAATTGGCCAAGAGAAACATGATAACTCAAACACTGATTCAAACCAGTGAAAGATTCAATAAGTTTCGCCAAAGCCTTGAATTGATCTTGTCCTATCAACATTCCTCCTCTTCCCATTATAACAACGTTGATTCTGTAGAAAGGAGGAGTTATTTCAACATTAACAGGGTTATCTAAATATCTCAATTCGAAAGGAATCGGATGTTTTAATGTACGAATTCCTTCATTAACTAAATCTTCAATAGAATTAAAATCTTCACTTTTTTCATCAGGATTTTCGCAATTTTGCAAAAATTTCATTGCATCATCGAAGAAACCTAAATTGCAGCAGTTTAGAGACTGCTTGAGTAGAGGAAGAGCAATGTTATCTTCTTTGAAGAGCTCCTTATGTTCAAATATCAAATTCATTTCATCAAATTTCATCAAAATTTCTCTGATGTTGTTTGTTTTGTCTGGAAATCCTTTGAAGGAGTAATTGACACCGAATCTCAAGAACAATCTAAGATTTATCAGTTTGCAGAAATATCTGATTTTCTTTTCTTCTTTTAACTGATAATTATTCAAGAAATTGTTGATTTTTTTAAGGATTTTTACAAATTTTTCTTCATTTTCGAGATTGTTCACTTCAACAGAATCAATCATCACTTTGAACAAATCATAAACATAATCAACAATCATTGATTTGTTCTTCATAACTTTATAATACTTATCATACCATTTATTAATGATTTGGACTTTTTCAATGTCACTTTTTTGACAAATTTTTTGATTAAATTCGTGAATTATTTCATTGTCACATTCAATATCAGGAAATTCATTGATTATTGAGAGAAGAGAAGAAGATTTTGCATTGTGGTGTGTGAGGATCAACTGGTTAGTCAATGTTCTCTGTTCTTCAGGCAAAGAATTAAAGATTTTCCTGGAAACATTTTCATTTGTGAAGTGAACATTGAATTTCTGATTTTCTTTGATTTTTTGAGTGATTTTTGATGACATTTTTGTGACAAAATCATCCAAAATATTGTTGTTTGTAGCTATTTCAAGAGCTATATCATCTTTTTCTTCATCAATCAGTTGATCTAAAGCAGAATTCATGTCATTAACTTCAATTCCACTTTTTAGAATTGTTTCTATTTGGGAATTACTTTCTTCAGGGAAAACATTGATGAAATCAATCAGATGCATCTCTTTCCTGATTGTTTCTTTGCATTTGTCAACAATAAAAGGATATCTGAACCTAATTTCAATAATAATCTGAATTAAATTGTTCAAAATTGAAATATTAAGGATTTTCTCAACAAACTCTTCGGGAATATTGAAATAGTATACGTCATCAAGCAAATCAACAGCTAAATAAATTATTTCCTCTGAAATATTTTTCAATGAATGTAAAGTTGCCAAAAAAGTCATCATGAAAACATCTAAATCATCGAAATCCTCGTTCAAACAGTCAGAAATCTCCTTATTAGAAGAGAATTTAGATGAATATGACTTGAGTATCTTAGTAATTCTCTGTTTTTGCTGAGTTTTTGCATCATAAAACTGAGATGTTTTCAAAATTAAAGGAGAAATACCATCAATTAGGGATTTAATGTTATCAGAAGCATTGAAGACCTTCTTTGATGATAAAATAAACTCCAATGCGTTCTTTCCAAGCAATAATTCCAAATCTTTCAGATCAGATATTTTTGTACTTTGTAAAATTCCATCAATTGCAGATCCACCTTGTGTGCCGAGCTCTGTCTTTGTTGTTCTGTTGTATAGATCAACGTAATCAACAAAACCTTTTAATAATTTGTAATTATAATTAAATTCAACAGAAGTATCATTGGAATTGACGTGTTTCAATGCTAGTTCTAATACTGGCTTGATGTCAACTTCGTTTTTCCTCTTCTCAATTAATTTCAATACTTTTTCATCAGAAATTTTTTCAGAGAAAATTTTTTGATCAAATTTTTTGTCACTTTTTTCGTTTTGGTTCCAACTCAATGCGAGATTTTCCCAAAGTTTTGAGGTAAACCATTCCTTTGGGATCTGCTCTTGGTTACCATTCTTAATGAGATGTATAGCATGTGCCATCTTGCAAATTTCGTTCAATTCTTTATCATCTTTTGACAAGATTTCCGCCATGTCGTATTCATAATTGGAAAATGCGACCAAAACAGAGTCCTTAGTACTCAGCAGACATTCGCTAATCGAATGCGCGTTCATTACAATGCCTCTCTGCAATTTACTCAGTCCATTTGCTACGATTTCTTTTGTTTCCTTTTCATCGGCGAAAGTTTCTAAAACAGTTAAAACTTGTTGGGCCAAAGAAGCCGTACAAACGAATTTACCTGTACTATCTTGCAGGAAAAGTATAGATAGTATGTCTATGATGACCTGTTTGTGATAAGAAACAGGAATATTCGAAATTAAAGATAATAATTCTGATTCATCAATGTTTTGGCCTTTAATCGCATTGACAATCAATTCCAATGCTTTGAAAGTGTAAATTACTGCGAAATCTGCTATTCTGTCTTCGTCTGGATAAGATAATAACTCTGATTCTCCTAATGAGATTGAATCTTCAACTGTAAGAGCTAAAAGTGATGGTAATATGAGTTTAACAATAGAGTTATCAACTAAATCGTTCGAAGTGATTGTTTTTCCGAGTAAATTTGAAATTGATTTGTAAAACGTTTCCTCGTTATGATATCTACCATAGAAGTTCATAAGAACCTTTGGTTTGGCGTAATAATCGATAATTCCATGTAAAAATTGTGGATCTGGCGAGATTTTTTCGTAATCTAATAATAAGGCGTAAGGTCGTAAATCATCGAATAATTCTAGCACTTTTGCAACCATTTGAAAATCACGAGTCATTAAGTGGTTATGAGCATGAGAAAATATAATGTCTACGAAGTGTTTATTTTTCATTATTGATTCATTCAGTAAAGTAAAGGAATGATTCTGCGAGAGTAATCTAAAATCGTTAGGAAATGTATTTTGAGCAGAAACAAAGCGTTGATATAAAACAGAAACTCGAGAATTTCCCATCAATGATGGACTTCCCCAGAAAGAGAAGTAATTTTGTGGATTTAGTAAATCAGGAGGTAATGATACGATAAATCTTTCATCAATACCTCCGTAAATATAGAAGATATTGACTCCAAAATGCGGAACAATATCATGATCTCCAATTTTCGCTAAAATTGTGTCGATATAGGATTGTAAAGCTCGTAATAGCTGAGGGTTATGTGAATATAGTTTATCAATGTTACGTAATAAAGTTTTTGCATTTTTTTCGATTTTTTGTGGATTTTGAATAGCATCAAATATGCTCTCTGACCATGAATCTCCTATTTTAAGCAGTATATTCTGATATATTGGTGTGAAATTGATTTTGTAGTTGTCCTGTCTATAATATTGTAAAATTGTGTTAATATCTGAGTAATAATGTGCCTTAGTTGGACTCTCTTTAACAAATTTATATATTGGAGTGGGTGATAATGCTCTTAATGCCTCTAAATACGAAATTAAATATTCTGTAGAGATAGAATCTTCGTATAGGTAGTAAAAGCATGGTTCTCCTAAACAAATCTGTTTAAGTATCTCTGTTTTTTCGGTTTCAATTAAGTTTGGGACCGAAAAAATCCAGTGATACTTGAGTTTAGAATCCAAAATCGAATAAACTTCATTTCTCCAACCCCTATTTATATGATGATAATATGATAAATATCAAATATGAATCATTACTCATCTTATTCCCAATAATATCAACATAAATTATGTAAATTCAGATTCGAACAATTCATCCCTCACCAAATTTGTAGCATAATAAGGACAATACTCTAAGATATGATATAGTTGTATTAAATATTAAGAGTAAACAATCAAAACACAATGCATTTTTTTGCCATTCAATATTTCCCATATCTTAATAATGTTATACTGATTCATTAGTTGACTATTGACAAAAGTATTGAAGACTTTATTGTTGCTTATCCATGACTAGAAATGCTTCACAATTTTAAAAATTAATTTGAAAAATATGGACAAATTCAATAAATTAGTATTAATTCTAAAAGTATAATAAATATTTAATCTTTTACATTATTTAAATATAACATATTCCTTTTATATATTCTAAAAAACTGAAACGAATAACCAAAACCTCCAAAAAAATTTCGGAATTCGTTTTTTCATCTCCAAAATTGATGAAGTTCAATTCATTTTTTTAATTTTCTAAAAAATTTGGAAAAAATTCTAGCAAGGAAATGGCTTGTAGCTATGGATTCATCCAATATTTACTCAATATTTGTGCTCATTCAATATTTTTTAAATTTTTATTTAGATTTTTAGCGCCAAACAGAATAAATTCATAGCCGAACAATTAAATTTCAATATTTAATGCCAACCTTCATCTACAAAAACTCATTCCCACGTATTAGCCCTATTGTCCTTTTAATTTTATTAAACTACAGATCTTACAAATAGAAGAGAACGTTTTTCTCTCTATGGGCCTGCATATTTTAAGCTTAAATTATATACTTGTTAAAATATATAGATAAATTTATGTAAATTTATTCTAATTTAGAATTAATTGTGTACGTAAGTATCTTATCAACACATATACATGACGATGCTCGATTACGAATTGCTTGATGATGAAAGATAACCGTATTGGATATTCGATTACAATTACAGTGCAGGAATATCTTGCCAAAAGTACAATAAAATAGATTTTATTCCCAATATTAATAGATTGCTATATGGGTGAAGGAAAAGAAATCTTGTTCAATACAAAATCTGTCCTTCTCGTTATTATTTTTTGATGAAATTTTATAAAAAATCTCGATGTCATATTTCGAGTTACAATCCTCGAACACCTGTTGGAAAGCAGAACATGATGGCTCAGATATCACTGTTATAAGGTTCTCTCCTAATGGTAGACAGCTTGCCGTCGGCACATTCAATGGTAATGTCTATGTTCGAGATGCGATTACATCTAGATTGATGTACAAGATCGATGTTTTGCACACATCAAATCCAATAACATCAATTAAGTGGCATCCAAAGATAGATAATGCCTTCTTATGCTCATCAGCTTCTGGATATGTTTCCTTGTGGCATACTGAGACAGGACAAAATCTTTGGATGGTCAAGGAACAAGGAAATGAAACAAGTTCAATTGCCATTTCTCCGTCAGGAACCCAATTTACGACGGTCGGATCAGATAAGACAGTTAGAATATACGCAATTCAAAAACACGTTTTACTCCATGAGTTCTCAGCTCGTTCCTACGATCAAGGTACCGTGACAGGCCATCAATCCAGAATTTATGCTGCAGCATACCAGAACGATGATGTTGTTGCAACATGTGGATGGGATGATACAGTTCTCTTCTGGGATATTCGTACAGGTAAAGTCGAAAGGACAATTTTCGGTCCACATCTCAGTGGAGAGTCAATGGCTTTCGTTGGAAACAAACTCATAGCAGGATCCAATAGAGCAGAAGACCAATTACAAATGTTTGATATCGGAACTGGCAAATGCGAAAAATCAATTTCAATTGGACGTGGAGGTGAATCTCTTTTAATTTACTCCCTCGGTGTTACAACAGATGAGAAGTTTGTTGGCGTTTGCGGTGGTGGTCTTAAGAAACTTCACTTTTACCGTTCATCAGACCTCGATTTAGTTGCACAAACAGAGATATTTGATACTCCTCTAATGACAGTTCATTTCAGTGAATCCAACTTTGGTGTTGGTCTCGGAAATTCAAAGGTTCTTGTTGATAAATATGCTATTGACTAAGCGAGATATACAATTCTAATGAAATATAAACTATTCTATTATAAATAAACAATATCATTTACAAACAAATTAATAAAAACATGGCTAAGAACTTTTTTTTGGATTATCTTGCAATTAGCCTGACAATACATCATATTGGATATATCCAATATAATGATGATTTGATATGAAAAAATCAGATTTTCATCAAGATTAATTTGCAACTCATTGCTCTGACGAATTAGATGTTTCAGTTGGTTCGTCAATAAATCGTTTCATATGCTCATCAGTGAACATATAGTATTTTAAGTGTGGCTGAATGATGTCAAAGTTGTCATGAAACCATTTTATCAATACACATTTCCTTCTCTTAGCTTCTCTATCAAGTTTCAATACTGGGATCTTCAAACATAGACATGTTACAAGACTGAGCAGTTCTGATTTACTTCTTCTTTCTCCATAAAGTTCAATTAGAATTTGGTATGTTGGGCATGTTTTATAATCAAATTCTCCAAGACGCTTCGATACTCTACTCCTTTCAATTTCTCTAGACGACGCCTTTTGCATTTTTTCCTTATCAAGCTTACTCATTTTTGTAATATCGAAATGCTATTTTACAAATGTCAAAATAAGCAATACTTCGACGTATTGACAATAGAACATTCGGATCATATGCATTGTATTCAGAATACCCAAGTTTATTTACGATCAGACTGTGTCATCAAACCTGTATCCTTTCTTGATGATATCTTATTACTCATGCACAAATAAGAAGAATATTCAAAACAAGAAAGCATCAATATACGTATCAGTACAATAGCAGTCTAGTTGTATTGACATAAATTTGGGTTCAGTAAATGGTGGCGATCTAACTGGCATTCAAATAAAAACATGCTCAAATTAACGGCATTATTGAATATTTAATATTACCACATGCATACAAACTATGAACTTTATGAATTTCTAGAGAAATTACATAAACTGCAAATATTCGTTTGATTTTTTTTGATATATAAGTGCTTATATTAGCTTGCTAATACAGCCTGCATTTTCGTTTAAGTTTGAATCATCCTTTATATGTAACGTATTAATAATGCTATTTTAATTCATATCCAATGAATATTCTATCCATTTTAAACATATGATTTGAGTAAACTTGTAAACATGAGCAAATGTATTGATGTTACAACATAATATGAGTAATTTAGATAATAATAAACATAAACAAAATATATAATAATAAAAATTAAAAATGAACTAAGGATTCAAGAGATATCAATGAGTTGCAAACTTCTCTCTAAAAGGGTGATGGAATCTTGGTTTAATTCTGGGTAATCTGTTGTTTCCTAGCATCATATTCATTTTGAATATTCCTATGGTAATAGAGTGTGGATGATATGTAGATTTGTTTCTTTGTATAGATCTTAAAGATCTACCTTTGGGGGAAAGAACATCTTGAGGAACTTCCTCATTATCAGAAAGCATTCCATCTAACGGGTCTTTCTCAAAGAGTTTATAATTGAGTATCTCTGCTACACTTGGCCTCTCATTCGGATCAATTCTCATCATTTTTGATATTAAATCTATAATCTCAGGTGGTGTATTAGCTCTTAACTTGAAATCACCTGCTATTATACATGTTCTCAGTGAATTGACGTTATCGCATTGCCATGGAGCTCTTCCATTAATCATGTATGCAAATAACACTCCAAGAGACCAAATATCAGCTTGCATTGGATTATGCGGCTTCTTTAATATAATTTCTGGAGGCATGTATAATAAAGATCCTGAAAATGGTTCAATCATATTATTTGCGTTGGTTATCGATATACCAAAATCTGATAATTTGATATGTCCTAAACTATCTATAAGAATATTACCCGGTTTGATATCTCGATGAGCAATATTTTTAGAATGTACAAATGTGAGGGCTGATACAATCTGCCTTGCATAGTTAATAAATTGCTCTTTTGGCAAACCCTTTTTATTTAGAGTATCCTGCATTGATCCAAGTTGGCAATACTCTAATATTATAAAAAAACAATTATTCTCAGTAAAATGATCATACAGTCTAATAATGTTTTGATGAGAAAGACTCATTAGTGCCTTTATTTCAGCTTCTAATGGATCGATTTTCACACCAAGTATAATATCGTTGTTTAATGGAGTGACTTTGGCGCAATATTTCTTATGGTCATCTTCACTTTCGACAAGATACACAAATGAGAACCCTCCTTTTCCTATCAGCTTTTTGAATCCATATTTGTGGATTGAGCAAGGAAGAGGGCTAATCATTGCCACTTTTAATGTATTCAAAATTTAGAAAATTGAATCACACATACAAAATTAATTAAATATTTGAGATAACTTTTTGATAACCGAAACTTAACGATAATCGATATATACCAAACAATATTTTTTATTGGATTTATGTATGTCTAATTAATTGAATTTATCTCAAAGTATTTAATTAGGTTTAAAGAATCTGGCTAGATATTGAATAACTCTAAACGTTTTTGCAGAATGAATTTTTTTGACATGAAATAATTTATTTAATTCGAATATTACAGAATCAAAGATCATAATGATTTTTTCCGATAATGAACTTTTTTATTTGAAAACATCGAAACTTTGAATATGAAAGTATTTGTGAGGAGATAGTATTGAAATCAAAATCTTCAATTTTTTTTATTCATGATTGACATGTGTTATCTTTAATTTTGATAAAAAATTTTATTCAGATGGTTCGACTTTTGTGATTAGAAAGTTTCAAAATAGAAATATAGAGATCAAAAATTAAAATGAAAATTAAATCGTGAATACAAGAGCACATTCATGACAAGAGTCAGCTATCAAATGAAAACAATTTAGTAGTAGTATATGTTGAAGGGTTGTGTGACTTTTTTTGTAAACGTAAGAATTCATACAATATTGAACGATTTTGTATCATTTTTTTTAACATATGAAGTAAAAAATGTATGATTCTTACGGTTTTTATTCTTACGTTTTTGAATAAATCAAGATTTAAAAATGTATGATTCTTACGGTTTTTAAAAAAAAAAAAAAAAAAAAAAAAAAAAAAAAAAAAAAAAAAGGTAGTGGGGCTTCCAGGCACTTCGTGCCCTCTAGCCCCGAAGATGTTTAGTATAAATGAAGTTCTTATATATGGGTCTTCCAGGAGCTTTTCACAAAATATATATGTTTTCATGTTTCGTCACTTTTCTGTCACTTTTTCAGGTAAAAACATTTTTATTATATATATAAAATGAATTTTACAAAACCACCGTTACCCTTCTTTGGAAATAAGAGTAGATGTAAAGATATTCTATTGAGAGAACTTAAGAAACTACCGAATGGTCTAACATTTGTAGATTTGTTCGGTGGAAGTTTCTATATATCTCATTTGTGCCATACAATATTTCCTGACTCAAAGATTATATGCAATGACTTCGACAACTATATGAACCGTCTCAAACATATTCCAGACACAAACAAAATATTGAAAGAGTTAAAAGAAAAGATACCTATAGGTAAGATGGAACGTATACCATTAGATAAGAAAAATACTGTCAGAGAGGTTTTGAAAAAAGCAGAGTATATTGACTGGGATAGTATATCTTCTAGACTATTGTATAGTGGTTCTATAAGAGTTCATGACATTGAAACACTTATGTCAAACGTTTTATATCTTAACTATACAAAGGTTTTCAAAGAGAACATAGAAAAATATACTGAGGGTATAGAGTTTGTGAGATGTCGTTGGACAGAGTTGTATGAAAAATATAAAAACAAGGAAAATGTTTTCTTTATAGTAGACCCGCCGTTCTATAACACATATGATTTTCAATACCAAGTAGACTGGACTTTGAGAGACTCTTTAGAAACTTTAGACGTTTTACATAACCATCCATGCTTTTACTTTACATCCGATAAAAGTGGTTTGGAAAGTGTTATGAGATGGTTAGAGGATATACATGACTATGATTTTAGATACGATAAGATAGAATATGAGAGAGGTCCTATAAACCGGAGAAAGTGTCACAATAAAGAAATTTTACTAGTAAGTAAATGTGGTTTGAAATAGGACTACTTGTTTTAGGTTTTTTCCATTGTGTCATTTATTTATTTGACGTGGCAGAAAAGTACAGAGAATATGAAGATGAACCAATGCCTGCAAATGTCCAGTATATGTACTCGTAAGAGATATTTTTATCTAATATTAAATGGACGCACAGAACTTAGCGAATGCACAGCAACCTGGACAACCAAACCCAGAGAATATTCCAAATGAAGTTAGAATACAAACTGCAATGGCAAACTATGGTCAAGTGCCAACAGATGTACAAATGCAAACTGCCATGTCAAATGACGCTGCGTTAGGTTTGCCACCATGGTATGCAAATATGAGATGGAAAGAGTTTTATACAAACCCTGAAGTGGGATATAAACAACTTTATGCAGATGACGCGAACACAGGAGTTGACCCAGAATATGTTTTCTACCAGAGGAGAAACAGAATGTATGAGCTCCAGTTAAAGAATGCTATGGAACTCAACAGGAAACGTAAGAGACTAGGCGGACATTAGATTTTTACATATAGTAAAATGGGTTTCTTCAGTAAGATAGGAAACTTCTTTCGAAATGTTGGAAGAGGTATATGGAATGGAATAAAAAACCGTAGGAAGAGGAATTTGGAACGGAGTCAAAAATATTGGTAAAAGAGTAGGTCAGTTTGTTGGTATTATACCTAAAGACCCTGAACCAGAAGAACAAGCTCCTGTTATACAACAGCCTGAACCTGCACCACAGTCTAGTTGGCAACCAAATCCAACACCTCAACCGTATTAAAATTATATTTTTACCGTTCGATAGTAGTTGTATATGAAACTAAGTTCTAAGTAAAACGCGTGGTATAATGGAATTATTCTCTTTCTTCCATCTGTAGTAAACCATACTTGAAAGTCTGAAATACTTCCACTCGGCGGTTCATATAACTTTGTAGGTTTTTCGTAAAAGTCATTTGCCAAGCATAAAAAAGAGTTTTGTGCACCAGAAAATGAAGCATGAACTATAATAGCATCTGAGTCGAAAACATTTTCATATGTTCCATTAGGGTTTTCGACTTCATAAAAGTTCGGGTGTACTGGATATTCTGCAGGCTGATTTAACATCCTCAAAATCTATACCATGCCAAGTTGTTATATTTTGTAGAAATAAACGTCTTCTCCAAGGTCTTCTATTCTATTGAATTTAACAGTTGCATTTTTCCTGTCATATATAATATCGAGATGGTATTCTCCTTCGTCAATGTTGTACTGTTTTGCATATTCGAGATAGATATCGTTTTTTTTTCTTGAAAAGCTTGAAGAGTTGTTTCTAAGTTTACAAGCAAACTAACTTGTAAAAGTTTTCCCTGTTCAAATTTCTCATACGTACGTTTTTCTTTGTTATAGTATCGAACTTCAAAACCGACTGTAAATGGGAAACCATGTATGGCTTCTGAAATGAACTTCATTCTACGAAAGCCAATAGCTTTTGTGACAGATGGGTCTCTTAACCATCTTAACGGGTAGTCAAAACGATAGCCTTCATGCTTTACGGTCTCTGTCTCAAACTTTTGACCGACATTCGTAAAAAGTTCATCTAATGGTTTAGTTGTAGCAACTCTAGAATTTTCTTTTTCTATTGAAAGCATATTTTATCTAGAATAAAAATGTCAAATGAAACAGCGTCTATGAGAGAAATACAACACAACCGACAACTCATTATGCAAGCTCTAAATAAGAACACAACAAACTTTTCAAACTATTCTAAGATATCTGAGTCATTGAAAGAAGGAAACTTAAAACTGACATTAAACCAATGACAGATGAGTTTCTGTTTCAAGACAATAAGAACCATACTGTCTGTATAAATCCAACAAAAGGAACTTTAAACGAGAACCTATAAATGAACTTCTTTTAAAAGCAGATGTTGGCAACAAAGCTGACAAAGAATATGTAGACGATGCAATAGCAAAAGAAGAAGAAAGAGCTAACAAAGCTTATGCAACAAAAGAACATACTCATCCTGAACTAGCAGACAAAACATATGTTGACAATAAAATGTCAAGTGAAGTGACAAGAGCTGAAAACGAATATTCTAAAAAGACTCATACACATACTATATCTGAAATAACAAACTTACAAGAAACCTTAAACAGGAAAAGTGACGTTGGACATACACATACCATTGCAAATATTGCAAACTTACAAGAAACCTTAAACAGTAAAAGTGACGTTGGACATACACATACCATTGCAAATATTGCAAACTTACAAGAAACCTTAAACAGTAAAAGTGACGTTGGACATACACATACCATTGCAAATATTACAAACTTACAAGAAACCTTAAACAGGAAAAGTGACGTTGGACATACACATACATCTTCTGAAATAACAGACTTAAACGTTAGCCTTGAAAAGAAGCAGATAAAACATATGTCAATGAAATATACCAAAGTTTGATAGGAACAACGAAAAATATTGAAACTATTGTTGGTGACTTTTCTGTCAATGAAGAAAACAAATATTTTAGATGGGAGTTTGTACACTCCTTAAAAAATGGTATACGGTATAAACTCATTCCGAAAAATAACAATGAAATGTATGTAGGCTATATAAAGAATGATGGTACACAAGTTAAAGTTCCATTAGACAACAACTGCTACTTAAACTTATATGGAGACGAACAAAAGAAATATTTAAGAGTTTATGAAATGGCAGATATGACATTACCTAACCCAGCTCCAGCACCATATTATTATGACTATGGAGATGACAACAGAACACCACATGTAGATGAACAAAAGCTAACATTATATTTAGATTTTTATAGATATAAAAGATATAATGCAATAGAAAAAACGAGAATAGTATACTATTATGAAGATGACAGAAATAAATATTATAGTCAAGATTTTACCTACCCTGAAAACATAAGATTATATTATAAAAAATATTCTGACTTAAACCAGAAGAAACCTGAAATAGTTGCACTATATTTTAAGTTCAAAAGAGACAATCCTATAATATCTCATATGTTTGATTTAATGAACCCAGTAGGTTCTATTTATACATCTATGGAAGCAAGAGGTCCTCAAGTAATGTTTGGTGTTGGTGCATGGGAACAAATAGTCGACAGGTTTTTGTATTGTGCAAACTTTCAAAGGAAACAGGTGGAAGTAAAACGATTTCAGGTGAAAACTTACCTGCGCACAGTCACTACATAGATTTAAGTACATCTCAAGCAGG